CCCTCCCCTTTATTCCCAGGGTCAATGTAATGGATGCTGTGTGCCACCCAGGCTTCCCTTCCGGATGAGACACTCATTCCCCTGATGGTTCAAAGCAATGTCCCTCCCCAGGAACTGCCCTCTTTCCAAAGGAAGCTACTTACCCAAGGTTAAGTCACCTCCAGGAACTGACCAATGCTGGCAACGGGGGTCCAGGCTCTGCACCTCAAGCCGAGGTAAGTCTGAGGACGGGTTGGGCCTTCATTGTGACTGCACCGCAGTCCACCTCCTCCCACTGCCCCATGCTTCCTTCACCCCTCACAGGTTGAGGGCTCTCAGTGCACTGCAGACAGACAGCAAGAGGCTGAGGACAACTACTGGCCTATTCAAGACAAAGCGTCAGTCGGAGGACCCTCCTTGGACGCATATAAAGGGATTCTTACCTCCTTCAGCCAGAGGGCAGAAGCAACTGAAGATGGGGCCAGAACATAACAGGAAGGGAACAGGGCTCCGGAGGAGACTGGTCCCACCATGTGCTGTAGAAGCTGCTGGCCTGACAGAACAATCGAGTAGCCCTTTAAAGGTGCAGCTGAGGTGCCAGCCTGGAAGTGATACGCTGTGAGGATGGGGCACCATCCTCCAGGATGCAGGCTGTATCCTAAATCAGTGACCGTTCTAGTGGTTCTGTGGCCCCAACAGGCAGAATACATGAGGCCGGGAGTAGAAATGGGAGTGGCCCCACTTAACATCTTCACCAATGACCCCCTTGGGGAATCTGTGCTTCCTATGCCCACAATTTTAGGCTCCATGGATCTAAAGAACCTGTTTCCAAAGGGGGACAACTTCCACCAGGAGACACAGCAGGAGTCCCATTCAACCTTAAGCTATTCAACTGTCACCCAGTTGCTTTGGGTACGTTGTGCTGAGGCCAGTGGGCGCAGATGGACGTCACCATCACGCTGGAGATGCTTGACCCAGGTCATGAGGAGGCGGCAGGCTGCTATCACACAACGGGAGCAAGAGAGCACACACCTGGCACCCAGGTGACAACACCGCAGTGTCTCTTGGCCACTCCTTGCCCACTTTAAGTGGTCACTGTTTGAGAAGGACACAGTGACCAAGGACTCAGAGCTTTAGAGGAGGGTGTCTGGTGATCCCGGCAGGCAAGCTGAGAGGCAGGAGTGGGTGAGCACCTAGCCTAGCAGAGGTGCTAGTCAAGGAGGAATCTCCGAAGGGGAGTAGAGGAGGGAGACGGTGGGCGTTGGGGTGCTCTGCCCAGACTCCACTTCAGGATGGAGGTAAGCGTTCCCCAAGCTGCTGGAGCGTTGCCCTCCCCAGTATTCTCAGCACCTTGATTTCATTCAGAACATCGTAGAAGAGCCTATCCAGCTCCAGATTCACTGACAGTTTTGACGAAAGTCTTTGTGGTAACTGCATCACAGTTCAATTTCTTCCTCTGCTCAGTCCAGCCTCTTGTGCTCCCTCACACCTATCGCCCCTAACAGCGCTCCCCAATAAACTTCCTGTGCAAAAATATCAGCTCCGTCTGCTAACACAGACGCCAACCCACGACGGTTACACCTCAGTCCCAGCCAACACTGCCTCAAGGCTGAATCACCCCAGTGACTTCCATTGACTTCCTCAGGGCTTCCCTTGCAAGTCCAACATCCTGTGCACCACCCACTGAGAGGAATTTTCCCCCAATCTTGCCTCCAACATGCCATTTATTACGTGTATTGTCTCAGGTAAATTACTGGATGCCAGGTAAAAAAAAACAAATTTGTACATCAATGGAAAACTATGCATAGTCTGTAACAACCCTTCTGACTCTATGGGAGTCATTTTTGTAAGTTGTAGGCAACTAATAAGACCAGTAAATTCGATCTCTAGTAGAGATTCAACTGACTACCCATCTCAAAAAATGTGTCTCTATTTACAGCTCAACATTCCTCTACTCCATAAAGATTTGTACCTGTTATAATGTGGTTAATTCTCCAGATGAATGCATCAAAAAATCTTGAACATGTGCACATTTTTATATCTGAGAGTCATAATTTTACCTTCTCCTGAAAGTTATCTTTTAACCCTTGATTTTGACATACATAAGACAATGCTAAAAACATCTGTCAGGTGCCCAGCCAGCATGGCTCAGTGGTTGAGCATCAACCTATGGGCTCGATCCCCAGCAGGGGGCGTGCAGGAGGCAGCCGGTCAATGACTCTCATCACTGATGTTTCTCTCCCTCTCCCTTCCTCTCTTTGAAATCAATGAAAAACATATTTTAAAAAAAAATCTGGCAGGTTTGTTCTGGCACACGGTGGTGACTCACATGCTTGCTGCTTCAACCCTTTCCAAAGGAACTCATTATGACTTTACGTAGAGTCCTTTCGCTGGAACTAGCAATGCAAGTTACCATGTCCAGCCTTTGCCACAGACATGTCAGCAATCTGTTTGTGCCTTTTCACTATTAGAGCAATTGGGTCTAATCAGTCAAGCATTGTAGTTTATTATCTTCCGTCCTTCAATATGGAATATATCCAAGATCAATTAACTTTACAACAATCCTTTTTGGGCTAGACAGACCCCAAATTTTAAACTTTAAAGATAATTTTTACTATTAATCTTTTAAAACATTTGCTTACCCCAATTTCTAGAACTGTAAATTAATAAACTGGCACTTTGATCAACATATTATTATTCTACTACTTTCATTATTATTTTTATTTAATTTATTGGGGTGGCATTGGTTAATACAATTATATAGGTTTCAAGTGTACAATTCTATATCATCAGTATATTGTATTGTGTCCAACACCCAGTCAAGTTTCCTTTCGTCACCATCTATCCCCTCTTTACCCTTTCCTCCCTCCACCCCCTTCTTCCTCTGGCAATTACCATACTATTGTCTGTTTCCTTTTTTTTGCTTACTATCTTTACCTTTTTCACCCAGCCCCCTAAGCTCCCTTCCCTCTAACAGCTGTCAGCCTGTTCTCTGTATCTATGTCTGTTTCTATTTTATTAGATTCCACATATAAGTGAGATCATATGGTACTTGTCTTTCTCTGACTGGCTCATTTCACTTAGCAGAATACTCTCCAGGTCCATCCATGCTGTCACGAAAGGTAAGATTTCCTTCTTTTTTTTATGGTCAAGTAATACTCCACTGTGTAAATGTACAAATTCTATCCACTCAGCTATTGATGGGCACTTGGGCTGCTTCCAAATCTTGGCTATTGTAAATAGTGCTGCAATGAACACAGGGTGCATATATTCTTTCGACTTTCAGGGTTTTTTGAACATATGTCCCTGAAGTGGAATCGTTGGGTCATAAGGCAGTTCCATTTTTAATTTTTGAGGAAACTTCATCCTGTTTTCTATAGTGGCTGCACCAGTCTGTATTCCCACCAATACTGCATGAGGGTCCCCTTTCTCCACACCCTCGCCAGCAGTCGTTTGTGGATTTGACGGAAGCCATTCTGACAGGTGCAAGGTGAAATCTCACTGTCCTTTGAATTTGCATCTCTCTGATTAGTGATGCTGAGCATCTTTTCCTGTGTCTACTGGGCATCTGTATGTCCTCTTTGGAGAAGTGACTATTCTGGTCCTTTGTCCATTTTTTAATTGGGTTGGTTTTATTGGTGTTGAGTTTTATAAGTTCTTTATAAATTTTGGATATTAACCCATATTATTAGTTGGTTCTGAAGTTAACTCAAGTTCTGAAAAAAATAATCAGGTTTCCAAAAAAAACATGGGTTCTGATAAAATCAAGTTTTACTACTAATGTACAACCCGAAAGCCAACCATATCTGGATAGCCAATCTGCCTCTCTCTCCAGAACCTCTCTCTCCATATTAATTCTAGCTCTTAGAGCATCTTACTCCTTAATCTAAAACATACTTTGTGCAACTTTAGCTACAAAATACTGCTGATGAAAACTTCATTATGAAAAAATACACCCTAAACTTGACTTCGTCTCCCATGCTGTCTAGAAAGGCAGGGGCTGAGTGAGGATCTTGCATTTTTTAGGCCCAATGTCCCACTTCCATCAGGCCTGCAGTGCTGGCCACAGCAGATGAGCCGGGGCTTGCCCTGGTGGTTATGCCATACCATCTAACTCTCGGTGACACAGAAGCTGTCCCAGGTTCAATACCTGCCCTTTCTTAGGCCTTCTCGCCGGTGATTACCTGTACGTTTCCTTTCCGACTTGCTTTCCAGAGGGTGACACATAGGTTGACAAACAGAGAGGTTAACTACAGACATACTGGAACTTGTGGAATTGGATAGTTTTCTGGTTTCCAGAAAGGGAAAGATGTTACCAAAATGAAGCTACTTTTTGCTTCCTGTCCTCTGGCTCCATATTTTCAGAGAAAAAATCTAAGGTCACACAAAGTGAGTCACAAGCCTGTGGGCTGGATGGTTTCCAGTAATTAAACCACTTTATTTCTCTAAACACTCACCCCTCCCAGCTCACAAAAAAAAAAGAAAAAAAGGTTCACTTAGCTCTTACCTGGGACATAGTTCAGTGCTCAGGCTATCAATGGAGATTTTGTTCCACTTAGAATGAACTGAAAGGTTAAACTTGGGCTGGAAAGGGACCCTGCACTGGCTATCTGCCTCTGCTCTTACTGCAGCTCTATCACCCCGTGAGCCACATCTGATAGAGGGTCAAGTAACTGCCTGGAAAAGAGAACATGGAAAAACCCAGTGTTTCGACTAAAGAGGAAATGCTGATTTCTAAATGGGAAATAATGTGACTGTGATTTAATCAGAGCCTGCAGGGCATGCAAAATGTCAGTGAGATCCTGTGCATCTTGTTTTATCTGAAGAGTCTGGCCTACCTCTAGGACACATTTTGAAATATGTACATTTCTATTGTAAGGTGAATCACGTTTATAGGCCAAAGCTTCTGTTTTAAATGATTACTTCAGAAACAAATACATGTTTTTAAAATATACTATGCAGAGCTTAATATGGTGTACTCTAATTTTTCTCAATTTGACAAAAATGGACAGAAGGCAAAATGAAAAAAAAAATTTATTTCCTGTGTTTTATCCACTGTCAATACTGTATTTTTGATGCAATATATTTGCAAAGAAAAAGAACAATCTCAGCTTTTATTTTCCATTTTAAACAACTACAATATTTACAAACTGTTTAGAATAACACTCATACACACACACACACACACACACACACTCTCTCTCTCTCTCTCTCACAGACACACGCAGGTACATATATTCTTACCTCTGGTTTATACTGAATGCTGGTAGAGGCAATGAATCCCCTCAGAGCCCATGATCAGGAAAGAGAAACCCATCTGCCTTCCTCACATCTGCCCTCCTAGAACCACTATCAGTATCTTCCTTCCATCTCCTCATGCAGAGCTCATTGCCAGACTTGTACAGCGTTAAGGTAATCAGTTTTTACAATTTATTTTTATTTAAACTACAAGCTTTTAAAAAGCATAAGCAGAACTTGACTTTGCCCCCATTTCTATTATTTTGGTTGTAGGATCACGCTTCATAATATAGACAATCTTGTTTAACCACAATTACACTAACCCAAGAGTCATCTGGGGCAGCCACCTCACTCTCCGCTCCTACTGTCTTGCATTCCAGGTATCACCCATCTGTTCTGCTAACACCCAGGATATTTATCCCCATCACAATCTCAGGTGACCTTCGTTCCCTCTAGCTTGGCCCCACTGAGTCATAAATCGTCAGGTATAGAGCTGAGGCATAAGAAACAAGGTATAACCCTATATAATAGGTATAAGTCTTAGAACAGAGTTGTCACATAACCCTGCGACGACAGTCAGCTCTGGTTCCCCCCAGTGTTGCGTTGCTTCCGTAAAATGGCAGATAATGAAGTTCAGCTCACAAACAGAACTTTACTCTAATCCAGAAAGGATATGTGGCTGATAAACAATGAAAAGAAATTCTTATCACACACAATTCCTTTCAGATGATTTTGATGAGGTGATTCAAAGCAGAAAACATACTGTTTCAAGCAAAATTAACACTCCACATCCCTACCAGATCTATTTGTATAATGAATTCCTTTTCAATCACAGTTCTTACCTAAACATTTAACAAGTTAAAAATGAGAAGACCTAGATGTATATCAACTAGGTTTTTTTAAAGAGAGGCTGGTTTTCTAATACTTTAAAAAAACAACCCACTATACATACCCAACGTAATATTAAAATTTATGCTGCACAAATACATGGTACTAATTTTTTCTCCAGATCAATAGAACTCAGTCTCTACCTATGACTGAAACTAAAAGCTCCAGGCCCACTAACAGGCCCAGTTTTGGCCTTGACACCATTCTCTCCACTCTTCCTAGAACTAAAGGAAAAGCCTCCAAATAAAAGTGTGTGTTTTAGACCGCATTTGAACAATGTACCCTATAAAAAAAATTTGACTGGGTCCGTGTTCAGGCAAAGCAATTTTATATGACCACATTACACTATAAGAAACCCCCACTGAGAATGCATACTGAGGACTTAAATGGGGGATGGGGCTTTGTCCATACTCATGAAAAAGTAATGAAAATAAACACAAAAGCAACTAACAACAGGGCTGCAGTTTATAGTTCAGTAGCTAGTAAATACAAATATTACTAAGTTGTCTTTTTCTCAAGTCACATATTTAGGAGGAAGGGTTTTTAAAGTTAACTAAAAGAAGAAGGTAATTTTAGACTACGGGCAAATCATAAATTTAAGACCCAGTTCTGGATGGATGAATGAATGACTTGATGCAGCCATCTACCAACTGAAGGATTTCTAAGAGAGGCAGAAGGATGGTGCTCAGAAGCAAAGTAGAATTTACTAAGGCTGAGCTACCCTTGCTTAGATTTTATATTTTGATACAAAATGTAAAAATAAACCAACCCAAGAAGAAAGAGAACATCTTCTTAATGAGATGTAGTTTCCAACATAAAAACTCCTATTTTCGTTGCCTGACATTTAGTACAGAGTAATTTTCTGTATCTCACTCACGGCAGAAATGCTGTCTGGCTACTTCTGTTTCAAAGATTAATAGAAGTATATCAAATATACTTGAAATACTTTTAAAAATACTTCAAACCTAATGGAAGTTAACCTTCCAGTAATGAAAACCCAAAGAAGGCAGAACACTGATGAAGTCTGTTCAGTAATTTCCTGAAAGGTAACTAATCTCCCTTATTGTAAAAATATACAGCCTCACCACCTCCTTTCCCAAGCCCCTTAAATATCAACATGTTAATCTAGGCTCTTAAAAAATTAGTTCTTTAGAAAAAACTGAACATTTAAAGTTTTATCAAGTATTGAAAATGATGTAAAAGAGGGCTCACACCAAGTTATAAGATGGAGGATTAACTAAAAGCTTAATTTTGAGATATAAAATTATTTTTGCTACTGAATGAGAGGAAACAAGAAGAAAGGCTGTTTATATGCATTCCAGGACTCCCTTTCAAAGGGGAAAAAATAAAATCCAACAACAAAAAAACCGATAGTAATGAAACTCTATTTAAAGGAAATAAGTAAAATACTAGTGTTTTAATTAAGTATTTTCACTTTCAATTTATGGAACTCTGAAAGTTTTGCAATTGTCATCTAAAGACACTAACGCATGTCTGCTAGAGCCTCACACCCTGACAAAAACAGTGACGCAGGGAATCCAAACAAATAGCTCACTGTTCCTGGGGGGCAGAATATGACATGCATGGTCAATTTAACTGAAGTATGTATATTTCTATATAATTTAGGTCAAATTATTGTTAAGACATGAGTTTTTCATGATCACTATTTCCCCTGATGCAATTATTAGAAAAGTGCTACAATTTGTAAAAGACTGTTTTAGGCTTCAAAAAATAAGAACAGGGTTCCTAATTCATAAAACTTCACTAAAGGGCTATCTGATAACAAAATTCAACTTGTTTTGAGAAAAATGGCCACTAGTTGCTATCCCAAATCAAGACCCAATATATGTGTTCCATATAAAATCTAGCCTGGCATTTGAAATCTGACTTTTTGGGGGGAGGTGGGGGGCTAGGAATAAAAGTAATTCTAGCCCTTCTAATTGAATCTGAAATTCAAATTTTTTTTTTTCCTGTGTAGGAAAATAAATTACCTTCCATTTAAGACTAAAAAGACTCCACTTATCTTTTCACCTAGGCAATAACCACAAAAAGATCACACTCATTCAGAAATGTAGAAAATTCCTTTGAGAAGATTTTAAATAAATATAATCACGTATGTATTTTCAGAAGGGGGGAAGCCTGAACTTCAATGGCATACTACAGAACTGCCAAAAAGAGGCAAGTACAGACTACAGTGACAGTGGGGGGAACACGTTTTGATCGTTCAATTTAGAAAGCGTACCTTTGTGTATAGGTTTAGAAAATCATTTGACAAATGTTTTTTTGTATATTTTAGTGTGAATTCTGAAAACATTAACACAAGGCACATTGGGTCCTAAATAACAACAAAAATTTTAAGTTAGAAAAGGGAAAAATAAATAGATTTTGAGTGGAAATGCAGAAAGATGCTGTATACTAACTGCTTATTTCCGTCCTTAGTTTTCATTCCCGCTACTGAGGTGCCCTGCTCTGCTGTGGGAGCTGCACCACAACAGTAGGAGAAACAGCTTCTTCCTCTCTCACCTCATCAAAAAGATAGTTTAACCCACACTGCCCAATACGGTGGCCACTAGGCGCGCCAGCGAGTGAGTGCCTGAAGCAGGCTATGCCACATGCTGAAACAGTCGTACTTTGGATATATCAGATTAAATAAAATGTTTGGTGAACATTAATTTCGCCTCCTTTTTACTGTCCATTCAGGGAGTAGAAAGAGGGCTGCTTCTAAACGCTCAGAAGAAACGTACAGTCTTCCTTTGCACTTAACAAGGGAAAGTTTTTGGAAGAATTTTTTAAATGCCAACAGTTGACAAATCTAAATTTCAGTTCCCACCCAGCCCAATTGTAAATCTGAGTTACATATTTCCCTGAATACATGCATTTAAAAAAAATACAATTTAAGTTATGAGACAACATATGAATTAAGTCAATTTCACAGTTATAAATATTTCAAATTACAGCTTAAACACTATAAATTACAGGAAATAAAGTTCAAGTAATAGAAAAAGGAGAGAGAGATAAAGGCGAAGGTACTAAGGAGGGACAGGGATGGAACAATAAGAATGGCACCATTTGGATAACTGTGTTTGAAAACATTTTACTTGGTTAACTGAACTGCACGTGAATAACTCCAATAGCTAAGGACCCTTAAAATAAAAGGCAATCAAGCCTTTCTTTCCATTCCTGGACGTTCATCTTCTTCTCTGAAAAGCTTAAGCACTTTCTTCCCGAGGCTGGCCCAGCGGGCGTGCCCAAGGGAGAGCAGAGGGCCTGGGCCTCACCGGCGGCTCACCTGCGATGCGGACACAGGAGCCCGCGGGGCAGGTGCAGGACCGACTCGCGGACCACTGGCTCCAGGATTTCGAGCGCCAGCGATGACGCTCTGTCTCTCTTGAGATTTAGTATTCATTTTAAAGACAACCTCCACGGTACTGGCATGAAGTACAGACTCTTCACAGAAAAATGGGCAGCACAGTTCCTGCTACGTATGTTTATAAGGGAAGGGAAGGGGTTAATCCCAAAGGCAATTTAAATAATGGGATTTTATTTTTATATATAAATAAATGTTCTGAGAAATCTCAGACTTTAGTGCATTGTTATAAAAAATTAGTGCAGTTTTTTTTCTTTAAAGTTTTTAGCGCTCAAGGAATAAGATAAATATGTCTGTTCCTAGTCTCTTCACTGTACATTAAACTTTTCTACTGCCTCTGTCCAACTGAAGGTTTCTACACGGGTCTGTTTTAAAACATTAACGCAAATGGATCTCGTGTTCTATGACAAAACGTGGCAATTATTTTTGGCAAAGAAATTAGAAAAATATGAGATCATACTTTAGAAACCAAGAATTTGCTGATTTAAAGCATAGGCAATGCATAGGAAAAAACTTTCAAAAGATGTATTTTAACAGAACTTGATCCTTCATGCAAAATGTTTTCTCGGCAGCTAACTTAAAAAAATATTCAGCTTTATTTGGGGATGAAGACAGTGACAGGAGTCAGGGTGAAGGGCAAAGCAGACGCGCTTAGCCAAGCCCACTCTGTGCTCAAGTCTCTCCTTTATGGGATCAAAACGATGCCTCCAGGCATCTTCTGCTCTCGCCTCTCTTTCTCCAATGTCTCGGATTTGAGAGGGGAAAGAAACGTAGTTATAAAACACTGGCTCACACTTCAGCCCCGAGTTCCAGTACCCCAGTTTCAACCACAGTCACGTATTTATCATCAATCTGGACCAGAAGTACTGTCTTATCGATGTGGGACCTAGTACCGGGGTCTCTGCTGCAAGGCACCCATCGGTGAATCACCTAATGGTTCAGAATAAAACAAGATGTTAGTGGGAGAGACCTTGAACATGCTCACAAGCATTTATCTTTCTCTTAAGATTAGAGGTGGCAATTCTGCTTGATAATTAAACATACAGACACAAATTGACTAAAAATATGGACACAAGTCAGCCAGGCTACAAAAAAGGCAGAGCACCGGGTAGTCAGGTTCATAAGAGAACTTACATGGCCTTCCATCCCCTCCTGAGGACTCCAGTCTTTCCAGCTGTTTCTCCCAGCTTTTAACCGAATACCTTCGTCAGGCCACTGCAGCTCTTTTCTTTTTGACAGGTTGATCCCATCCAGAATTTGACTGGGATCCACAATCTATATTGTAAATAAATACACATCACTTCCAATTCATTTTTCTCTTGATGATGAAAAATTACATAATCCCAAACAAAATTTCACAGGACTCTTTGTGTCTCAAGTTCTCCACTGCCTATAAAGGAATAGAAAATGATCTAAAGAGCCACCTCCTGAATTCCTTCCAGACTACTGGTAGACCTTACTGCCCTGGCCACATGACCATGGCTGGGGAAGGGACACACATCACTACTGAAAAACTGCTTGCTTTCAGCTGTACACTGGCAGAAACTTTTTTTTAACATTCAAAAACGTTCTAGTCTTCAGACTAAGTAATATGTGTTTTCACAAGAGACCTTCACTCAACAAACAAGAAATAAAAACAAATGTGTTACAGAAACAGTGCAGAAACTGGGCTTACTCACTTGGACTCTGTAAATCACCTCCCCCTTTTTGGCATGTGCATTATTGGCAGGACTTAAGGTGTTGCCTGGCGGTGCATCAGTGGCACTGCTCTGACCCCCGTCTGTCCCAAGAAAACCCACAAGAGTGTGGTGCTTGCAGGCCAGGATGCTTTGGCTGGAGCTGCTGGAGGAAGGCAGGCCGTGGTGCACACAGGCCATGCCACTCTGACCAGAGGGTTCCATCTGGTTCACCATGGAGAGGCGGGACTGGATGGACGACGGTAAGTTTCGAAGCGATATCTGACTGGTAGAAGAGCGCCGACAAGGCACGAATCCTGTGGTGGACATCCGGAGGGACGAGTGCCGGCTGCTATAGCAGTAAGAAGACTGGCTGGCTACTGAGGCCCGAGCCGGGGACTGTCTGGCCAGGCTTGACTGCACGGAGTGAGCGCTGTGGCTGGTGCCTAGAGAGGGCGGACGACAGCACTCATTCTAAGTGGAAGGATTCAAAAACAGCTCTTGTTTCCTTCTGTAGATTCTAAGACTTTCTCCCTTAAGCAATTACTTGAATTTATTGAATTTAACATTTACTCCCAAAACTTCTAAAATTGTCAAAAAGAAACAAATATCTGAGATTTGTTTTCTTGTGTAGTTTTTATAATTTTTATTTGCTGAAGGATTTTAAAATTCAAATTTTGAGGCAAAAGAAAGAAAAATAATTTCCAGCAAACATCAGGATTTAAGGTTGAGATAAATCCTAAAATAATTTTCACAGATGTATTTCAGAATTAGAATTTCTCTTTAATATACATCAGAAATGAAATATCTCATGGAAATATTAATAAGGATCCACTATGTGGCAAGCTAACTATTTCTCAAGGTATAGTATTAATACCCTATTTCAATGACAAGCTGCACAGAGAGACCGCAATGCCACACTGTATTTTCATAGACATTAAAGGGTTGGTTACAAATGTGATTTGCCAGTGACACTGAACAGCAGGTTTCTCTGTGCCCTTTTCAAATGGCCCTGATGTGATGCTTCAGACTTGTCCTTTGCCTGACTCCTAAGTGATGTGAAGATTATCAGAAAACAGTTATTATACTGAAGAAATAGCTACATGCACTTTTATCTGAAAATAAAAAAAAGGAGCCGATGTCAGAGCAAAGGTTCACTTAAAGATGCACAGCTCTGGCCAGTGCAGCTCAGTTGGCTGGAGCATCATCCCAGACACCACAGAGGCTGCAGGTTCGATTCCTGGTCAGGGCACTTGCCTAGGTTGCAGGTTCACTCTCTGGTTGGGGTGCGTACGGAAAGCAACTGATCGATGTTCTCTCTTGCCTCTCTCCCTCGCCCCCTCTTCTCCTCTCTCTCTAAAATCAATGAGCATGTCCTCCAGTAAGAAGTGAATAAAAAAATAAAGAAGCACTTTGACACATACTGTTTTCACTCAGAGGCTAAAAACTAACCTATGAAATATTGATCATACACCTATCCAGAACCTTAACAATTCCAGTGCCACTGAACTTTTTAAATTGAAGTAAATGCCTCAAGACTTCATCTGCTCCACATGCAGCTGCGGGAAAGGACAGTGCTGGGTCAGCCTACCAGCCACATGGGAAGAGATGAAATCTGACTCCCGCTGGATACCAGGTGGGTTGTAGATCTCGTGTAATAGCTAAATTAGTAAAAAAATACCTTCTTTTGGGATGGAGAAAATTTTCTTAAATAGGATACAAAAAGCACTAAGTGTAAAGGGAAAGATCAGTAAATTGCTCTATACTAAAATTAAGAACAATCTCATCAAAAGGCGACGAGCCACTCTTCACGGGAAGGGACTGGGAAGCTGAGAGACAGAATGGAAAAGACGTGTAGTGCGGAAACAGCCGATAATCTCATTTGAAAGTTTCCAATCTCAAGAATCAGAGGAATATAAGTTAAAGTAATAAAATTAAAGACCACCCTTCCTCCTGTCCCTCTGGGCATGCAGGGAGCAGAGGTGGGAACCGGTAATACTCAAAGCTGGTGAAAGTTTACCCACTGGGCATTCGTACCCATGACTGGTAAGAGTACCACTTGGTAAAAAACTTTCTGGAAAGATTTTCAGCACGATATATCATGAGTCTTAAATATTCTCATAAACTTTGACTCAGTGATTGCATTTTTTAAGTTTCCAGCCTAAGAAAATAATATGTGATTACAAAGATACAACTTTCAGAAGAAACCAAATCACTGCCCAACGGGAGAGAAGTTAAATTATGTTAACTAAATATTATTAGCCTTTAAAAAGGATACTTTCAAAGAAATATTTCAAATAATATATATTTATATTTATATATAAAGTGATTAATACAAACAAATGCCCAACTGTGACTCAAACGAAATATTGTTTATATATTTCCAAGTAGGTAATCCGGCATCCTCTTTAATACGCACATACTAACTGAGCCCCAGCTAAGATGTTAACGCTATCCACGTGCTTCTGTTTCACATACCGAGTGCTGGGGGATAAGATGTGACGGGCGGATGGAGTCCTGCTCCCGACCCCTGGCCCATGTTTCCGGTGCTTCCTTGGGACACGGTGCTGTGGGGCTCGTTGGCGAGTGTTGCATTGTTGCTAGTGCAAGAAGTGCCCCCTCCAGTATCAGAATCTTCAATGTTGCCACCACTGTTACAACCAGCTCCACAACCTTTCCTCAACCTAGGAACACGCACCAGAGTAGGAAGCATTACCCCAAGATTACTTCAAGACAGGTATTTTATTCCTTTTTAGCTATTCTGAATGCTTAAGGCTACTAATGATCACCTGTGAAAGTCTTTGTGGTGTAATCAATACCAGGAACAAAAGCCTGCTATGTTTTCATATCTCCTCTTATAGTCACTGCCTTGATGGTTCCCAATCGATGTCACTTTTATGCACTCTATCAGCTTTCCTACACCACTCTAAAGAACTGCACATAACACAGTTGTACCATTAAGATCACACCAGGCAACGGAATTCTTGCCAGTGTCCAACACCTGAAGGGTGCTGCTATAATGATTTTCCTCCTTTCACTTGTTTATTTTTATGTAAGGTGACTAACTGTCCTGGTTTGCCCACGACTGTCTTGGTTTAAGCACTGAAAATCTTGCACCCTGGGAAACCCCAGTCCTGGACAAACAAGGCAATTCCAGCACAACAGATATTTTTCCAAAAAGAGAATTTATTTGAACACTACACCCTGGTTTGTGTTCTTCCTTCTGCTTGACAGGGATTGATGTTAAAATGATGAAACCTTCCTCTTGAATGTTGGGTATTTCCAGAATTTAAAACCCCCTATTTGAGTTTATTGCTCTAATCCCATATCCTGTTTTTCTTAAGCTCTGAATTAAGGATCTGAACAACTCTTAAGGAATTGAAAATAATATTCTGTGATTTTTTCTTTACCTGTCACCAAATTATGATGTTCCTACACCATAATTTACTAGACAGGATGCAGAGGAAAACTTCATGCGCATTCTTGAAGACATACTACAGATCTGAGATCTGAGTGATGACTGGACTGATCAATGGCAGCAATATCTGCCCTACACAAGCAAGTTTCAACAAGAGGAGAGTGCTCCCCCTAGCGCTGGAACGGAATAAAACAGAAGCAAGCAACCAATTCGCACAAGTTTCTCACGTTGTTTTCTGTCATTTGTCCTGTTTGCTGACCCACACATTCTAATAGCAGCAATAGGCTGCAAATAAATCAACAAAGTTAAACAAAGACTGTACTAAATACTAAAGCAGTTGTTCTTCACCACAGCTGCCCATCAGACTTATCTAATAAGGGTTTGAAGATACACATGCTCAGACTCTGCTTCCTGAAGTACAGCTGTAATAGATTATATTGTGCTGTGGCATTTATATATTTTTTTTTTTTTTTTTTACAAACTTTCCAGGTGATGCTCATGCACACTGCCTAGCTCGAGGGCCAGGATACACCACCACTGAAAAATGTGACCCAATGGCTCACCTGTGCCAGGTTGACACTATGAAGTTTCTGATATTTCCCAAACTGATAGGTCCCCCAAGAATTTCTTTAAGTTGATCATGGCTGTCAGAGTAAGAAGTTGTTAGGGGTGAAACAAAGATCGGGTAGCCAATAGGTTGATCGCAAGATGAGTTTATCATGTTTCTCAGAGCTTGCTTTGCATTTTGGATGCTCCCTCTCTCAGGGTTACGGTTACGTAGAAATACAAGCTCCTGCTGTTGCCCTGCCCAAAGGCCGCGGACACATTCCTTATTCACCTGAAAACCAGAACACATGGGAATCAGATTAAGGGGCCAAGAAGGAAATTCATATAAACAGAGGCACAGAGATGGAAGGGATACAAAAGACATGACAACGACCAACTGTGAAAATCAGGAAACAAGCAGGTCACGTCTGAGCGGGAGTTAACCAATGCTCCACGCCAGCTGCAGGCTGTTACATAAGCAGCACCTACAGAGGACTTTTGCTCTGCACCCATTTCGTTTTCCAAATTAGTGAAATATTAAATTTTGTAACTGAGATAAGATATTCTTTATAGAAATTAGAAGTAACACCCAGCCGGGTGTGGCTCAGCAGTTGAGCGTCGACCTAGGATCCAGGCGATCGGGGTTCGATTCCTGGTCAGGGCACATGCCCGGGTTGCAGGCTCGATCCCCAGTAGGGGGCCTGCAGGAGGCAGCCGATCAATGACTCTCTCATCGCTGATGTTTTTCTCTCTCTCTCTCTCTCCTTTCCTCTGTCTGAAATGAATAAGGATATATTTAAAAAAAAAAAAGAAGTAACAAACATTTAGAGTTGAAAGGATGTTTGTGACTTTGGGGTTTGATTAAATGAAGTAAAGAAAAAATAACCATTACAAACTATCAAAATAAAATTTCAGAGATTAAGCCTCTTAACATCCTAAGATGTTTAATAAACAAAGTCTAAGGAAATGTTAAAGTGAACCACTGACTGATAACCATTAAGTACAAGCTACGGAACTATTTAGTAACCGAGGAATCACATAATATTAGCAATATGGAGCTGATGTTTAAGAGATTCTGCCCAAATAGCAAGTGAACTAGATAAAAAACTGCCTAAATAGAAATAAGCAAAAATGTTAACGCTTTATGGCACATAAGAACATTTCAGAAGACAGGCTAAATTACTGACAAGACAAATGAAATTAAGTGCTCATAAACAATAAATGTTAATGCAGTATGATCATCTTTTTTTTCTATAAGTTTCAGCTACTTTTTTAAAGTTTAAATAAGATGACCTAAGTTGCAATTTTTTCAGATGCAAATTAAAGCCTCAAAAACTTACTTTAATAACCCTGAAGCTAAGGTAGCGTCTGTTGAGCATGATGATTTTATACTCATTGGTGCCATCGTCCATGACATGCCGCAGAGCAAGCAAGGAGGGAGAGTTGGCGAGGACGGCGCTCCGCCATGCGGGGTCCCCTTCATGGGCTATTACGAGGTTTTTTTCATGAGATACAATGGCTTCATAGAGCACAGTCGGGTCGTCATACTCATCTGGAGAAGTGAAATGATCCTATACACAGAAATAAAAGATGTATCTTTTTTAGAAAGAGAATGACTTCCAGGGTGATAAAAACTTCCATAATTACTAAATCAGTTACTAAATGACAATTTCATATAAGCACGTTAATATTATTAGACCTAAATTATATGCAAAACATTCAAAAAATGTGTTTAAGTCCTGGTATTACCATCTAGGAAGCAGCTAGCTCTCTGAGCTTCAGTCCTGGTATCTGTGAGTGCCAGTATTACCTGCTTACTAACCTACGTGACAAGGCTGTTGTAAGTCAGACAAAATAGTGAACTGGAGAGCTTCTTACACTGTGAAGCAATATTCACACACACAGTGAATACATTTATCATCCACGAAGGTGAACCCTCAGACTTGGACGTGCATCCTTGGGGGTACTGCCCTCCCTTCAGATGTGTGAGCACACACTCCTCCCATCAGCCGGCTTGAGTACAAATGAGTTACTTTACCTGGATATAAAAATGTATCAACTTCTCAATTATACATGTGAAGGCAGCCAATGTAGTATTTCTGTTTCCTTTATAACACACCATTTCAGAAATTCAGATTTGTGTTATGGTTTTTTGGGTACATGTCCTGTATCTTCTGTTAATTTATATAGGTTTCTAAATGGAGACACATTTCATATACTCCTTTGTTTCATCCATGCTACCTGCCACAGAATCTTGCACATGGTAGCTATTAAATACGTACTTATCAAATGAATGAGTAGTTATTAAGACCAAGAGGTTGTTCAGGGAAGACTCTCCTAGCTTCTCTAGGACTAGGACCCTTAATCTATCCTCAAAGCTCACAGCTTTGAGCCATATCTCAACTAGATGAGAGGCAGGATAAAATGGTATTATCAGAATCATTCTAGAGATGTGGCTTTATATGAAAAGTGCCCACTTAATAAGAAACACAATTTTAGAGACTTTTTATGTAGTTTTAGTCTTCCTTAACTGATAACAGAAAAATATATATAAAGATATGAAAAGCCAACTTCAATGAGGAAAACAAAGAGAATACATAAAAACTGGAAATATTTGTTTAGCTAAAATTTAGAGGATATGGTTGGATTGAGGAATTTACAAAAGTAGTATAACAGTAGTTATACTTTTATATTTTAAGCTCTTTGGGAACAGAATAATTTTTTAAAGTAGAGTTTGAGGTATAATTTACATACAATAAATGCACCCACTCTAAGAGTAGTTAGATGCACTTTGACAAATATGTACACACCCATGTAACCACTGCTACAGTCTAGAAACAGAACATTTCCATCACCCCAAAAAGTTCCTTCCCACAGTTTGGCATTCAACCTCCATATCCCAAGCAACCACTGATCTGCTTTCTGCCTCTACAGATTAATTTCACCTGTTTTAAATTTTATATAAATAAAACCATACAATATATACTCGTTGTATGTCTGACTTCCTGTGCTCTGCATAGTGTTTGCGAGTCATTCATATTGTGGTGTCTAACAGTGTTAAGTGATATTTATTCTATCATGTGGCTAAACCATGGTTCGTATGGTCACCCACTGGTGGGCATCTGAGTTGTTTCCAGTTCTGGGCTATTATGAGTAAAACTGCTGTGCACACTAGGGTCTAAGGCTTTGTGTGGACATCCACTTTCATTCTCTTGGGTAAATATTTGGCAGTGAAATTGCTGGGTCATATGGCAAGTATGTACTAATCCTTTCTTCTAACATATAAGGACACTGTTCACTTCTGTGGGTTTTCATGAGTATACAAGATAAACTTTGGAGAGGACCAGTACTGATTTACACATTTATCTTTTCTTGGCCTGAGAGTCCCTCATGGGCAATCCAACGTCTGGCTCAAAGGAGTGGTGTTACTTCACAGGTCAATCTCTACCTTCCTCGAAGGAGTATTAGAATCACAAAACTTATCCAGGCTGCATCTGCGTTCTCTATCTCCTCCCCTCCCAGTCCTCCACGGCTCCAGGGCTCCCGGTTCCACCTCCTTACCCTCCCTGTTTGTCAGGGCTGTTGTCAGTCAGGCTGATGGTGACAGGGTGCTATACCCAAGTGTGCTGGGCCTGACTATAAGGTAGAGAAGCGCTGTCACAGGCAATACCGCAGCCAAAGGAACATGGAAGGAAATGGACCTGGCAACAGGCAAGAGCACTTCTATAGCAAGATTAGGGGCAGCAACCAACATACCGGAGGCTTTGGACCCTGTGCCTCCGTTTCTTCTCTGCCAGACTGAGATGACACATCTATCATAATGCAGAATTAACTGATGATGTATGTCAGGAACTGTTAGCTAATTATGCTATGTAGAAGAGTTGATATCCTACATAGAGGTATTTAATTGGTACCTTTTAAGAAACCTGATTTTAAAACATTTTAGGGAGCATCTGAAATCTTGTTTCCCGGTATTGTCGTCAGTTTGGCTCAAATAAAATCTTACCAAAATTCCTTATAGGCTTAAACATTTCTTAGGACAAAACAAGACAAAAGGAGAGATACTAGTCAGACAAAAACAAAATAAAACCCCCCAAAAAACAACAACACATTTTAATCTGTAGTGATTACCTTGTTCTTTTAAATACACTGAATTTTGTCTCAAAACTCTAAAGCTAGTTTGAATATGGACAATTCTATTTGATCCCAAACATATACTTTTCCCATCATCTTCAAAGTAGTTTTCCAGTAGTAGAGATTTTCAAGTAATATATCCCGTATTAGAAATGCTCCCAAATAATATGGGACATTAAGTTCCTTCCAGCACTTTAGGTCACAGTCAAATCGCTTGAAGAGTACTTCACCTTTTATTTGGGAAAAAAAGATTCAACCAGATGTGAGCACAGCAGATGCACTTTAATGCGTCTTACACCATGTGGTCTCTATCATCAGATCTGATGACTACTGTCAAGTGGAATGAACAGAGCAGCAAGTGCTAGTACATCAAGTGTCATTTCGTTATAATGCTGATGAGGAAAAAACACAAAAAATGGTTCCTGGCCACGGCCACTGCTGGGGGTTTGCATGTTCTCCCCATGTCCACGCGGGTTTTCTCCAGGTGCTCTGGTTTCCTCTCACTTCCAAAAGCTGTGCCCGTGAGGTGAATGGGTGTATCTACATTGTCTCTGAGTGGGAGTGGGAGTGGGTGTGGGTGTGGGTGGGCGCTGCGATTTAATGGCATCCTGTCCAGGACGGGTGCCTGCCTTGCCCCCCAAGCTCCTGGGAGAGGCTCCAGCCACCTGCGACCCTGAACTGGAATAATCAGGTAGGAAAATAACTATCTTACTTGTTTTTATTCATCCTTCTTAAGTGTATGTATAGTTCACATTTACTTCAATGTTTAATATTAGAAGCGTTTTGGATCTTTATTTAGAAGTTTGGGGATGTTTCTGTGGCTAGAAATATGCTGTAGGAACTTCACAGTTGTTTATATCAATTAGCCTGTGGGAAAACTGGTTTTGTCATATGTCGTTTTGCTTAAAGCTGCAGTTTCCAAGAACCTACTGACAACATTAAGTGAGGCCTTATTGCACTTAATTTCAAAATATATACTTAAAATGATCCAGGGCAAAATGATCCAGGGCATTTTGGGGAATCATTTTAATTTTTTTACCCCACTAGGGTTAAACTAGGGCTAAATCTGTCCTAACCATCTATATTATTCTACACAACATGTTACATGAAACTCACAGTTCAGTAACAGTGGCACTCAGGAGACTCCTGAGATGTCACTACCTGCACTGAGTCATCAAACATTCACTCATGGGAGAGGCATGAGTTACAATCACATGAGGTCAGAGCAAGTGCCACAGGGGCCAAAGGCTTCCGGTTTGTTTCTCAGCACTTACGTTTTTTTCCTCAAGCTCACGCCCAGGTCAGTCACCCTCTAACATTAATATTCAGGTTTACTGTTAGAAATGCAAGTTCAGGATTCTAAAATGTAGCATCTTGCCAAGAATCATGTTTTTCTTTGTTTCAAATCAGAGTATTTCTCAAAAGGTTCCAAAGAAACATAGCTTGGAAGTCGAGTGAAGTGCCATTAAACAGCAGCAATGGGGTAGTAACTTCCTCTTCTTACCTGATGAAGCTTAATGGACATACGGATTCCAGGGACTACAACTTTTCTTAGTAGCTCCATGTCAGCAAAGATCCATTCATCTCGAATTGAAGAAATTCGGAAATCTCCCTTAAACAGGGCATGCAATCCATAGAGGAATGACTCCAAATTACTGTTAAGATTGGAGATAAAAGTTCACATATTTTGACAGAGGTCCTCTGTTACACTGATTCTTACATCTGGTTGTGCACTGCAGTCATGCGGGATTGTTTTAAAAATACAGATTTCAAGAACTAATGTCAGCACCCCTAAGTCAGAATTACAAGGTAGGGCCTTTTGGCCTGGGATCCCTTTTTATGAAGCACTACAATAGTGAGTCCATGAAAATACACAAAGGCAAAGAGTATGTAAGTTAAAAGAAATTAGGAGGGCTTAAGGGAAAAGACGTAATAATCACAGAAGAAATTTAAAATATATGGTACTTCTTAATTACGTTAAGAAATTCAATTTACATTTAGAGTTCCAAAACCTAATGTACGACTACATTAAAAGTATAAATAAATGCTCTGGACAAAAACTGCAAGGAAGTATGGAAAAATTTTTAAAAAGGTGAATTATTAGAAAAATAGAGGTAAATTGAGAGGAGACCAATCAAATGTTATGGGGTGATTATTTTTAAAATGTCTCAAATCTATTAAATTTTCACTATCAATAGTTGCCAACACATATGTGAATTTTAAAAGCCAGTTCTGTTAACCACTTAGTACAACTCAGCTTTGTTCAGCAAAAAGATCTATACAACATCTGAAGAGGCTTTTGCAATAAATTAGCATAGAATGCTTCTGTGAAAAACGATTCCAGATTTTTCAGATTTAGATCCTACAGCTTCCCACAATCTCTTCCTAAAAACAGAAATGCCCTTACCTGGACATATGGTGGGATGCAGTCCCCAAAGCTCTTCGTCCCAGAACACAGAGTCCGTAACAAAGAGTCACCAAAGAGGAATCTTTGTCCACATCCAATGGCTTAAAAAAACAAACAAACAACAACAATAAAAAACAAAGTACAGAACGAAGGAGGTCAAAAGAGACAAACACTTCCAGTTACAAATAAGTGTCACGGGGATTTAATGTAGTGACTATAGTTAGTGATACTGTGTTGCACATTTGAAAGTCGTTAAGAGAGTAGATCTTAAAAGTTCTCATCACAAGGAGAAAAAAATTTGTAACTATGTGTGGTGACAGAAGTTAACTAACTTTACTGTGGTGACCATTTTGCAATACATACAAATATCAAATCACTATGATGTACACCTGAATGTCAATTATACCTAAAAAACAAAAGAAAAACAAAACATTAATAATCAGAAAGGTATATAAGTATTTATCAAATTAGAATATATCTACTTAGTAAATCAGAGAAGTCAAGGAACTCAATTAGTTTCTACCTCCTTAAATAAAAGTTTTAATGAAAAGAAACAATAACAAAATACTAAATGAAGTATTATTGTATATGAGGAGGTTCTTTGGAATCTTTAAATAAAATCTAATACTTTATAATACTAGGACATACTAAAAAAAGAACCAGGTGTAAAGTACTTTGAGATGTTTCGCTAAGATCCTAATACCCTATAGAAGAACTTCTGTTGTTACATAGTTACGAAAATTTTTTCCTCGTGATGAAAACCTTAAGATCTACTCTCCTAACAACTCAGGAGAGTCTGCCTCAGTAATGGGGAAAAATCAGCTCCAGACTAAAGGCTGGTCCCTCCTAAGGAAGCATAAAAGCAAGCCCTGAAAGGATCAAACTGTCCCCAAGGAATTTGTATCACCGAGCAAAGGTCAAGATTATTTATGGGAACACAAAAATATCCAGCACCCATATCAAGACAAAATTCCTAAAGTCTAGCATCCAATCAAAAATTGTCAGGCATGTACAGTAGCAGGAAAATATGACCCAGAGAAGAAGAATCAGTTAATCACTCACTCAATCAAAACTGACCCAGAATTGACACAGATGTCAGGATTAGTCAGTAAGGACATTGAAAAAGTTATTACAACTGTTCAAAAAGAGAGGAATGACATCATGCTAAGCAGAGACACAAAAGACTTATATGAAACACAAGTTAAACCTGAAGAGATACAAAAAGTGCAGTGTCTGAGATAAAAATATACTGGATGGGATTAATAGCATATTAAGCAATGAAGAAAAAAAATAAATGATCTGAAAATATAGCAATAGAAACTATGCAAAATTAAACATAGAAAAAAAAGAGACTGAAAAAAGCATCAATGAGCTGTAGGACATCAGGCAGCCTAATATAAATGTAACTGAGTCCCCCCAAAAAGGGGAGAGGACAGAAAAAAATGTTTGAAAAAACAATGGCTGAAAAAGGTCCCAATCTGATGAAAACTACATACCTAAAACTAAAGCAGGTGCTACATCTAAAGACGTCTGTGTGTACACCCCAGACCAAGATAAAGGTGCTAGTTGTCGAGGTGGCTCACTGTGCTCTGTGATACAGGGTAATCCTGCACCTAGAATGCTGGTGGTTCAACTACACCTGACTTTTGCTTGGAAAGCAGTAGTGGTGGTAGGAATTAGCTTTTGGAACCACAGGCGTTGGTATTGCGAGCAACACAGCCACAAGGGCCATGAGACCTAGAAGGAAAGTAGCAGATGGTGAAGTCTATAGCTCACCTTAACTTTTAGGATAAGACAAGTCATCCTGGAATATGGATTAGGAACCAGCTGGATTACAATCATCCAAGGTGATAGAGATTTTGGTCCCTAGCCTAGACCTACAGAATTAGAATCTCTCAAGTGAGGCCCACAAATCTACATTTTTACACATTCCTAGCTCATTTTGCCCATGTTAACACCTGAAAGTCAAAAGTTGAGATGAACAATGTCCAATATGATAGCCACTAGCCCACTAGTCCTAAATTTATATCAATTAAAATTAAATTAAACTTAAAACTCAGTCATACTGGCCACATTTCAAGTGTTTAATAATAGCCACATGTGGTAGGTTAGTAACTACCACACTAGATCAGCACAGAACATTTCCATCATCACAAAAAATGCTATTCAACTGCACTGGTTTGGACTTTAAATTTGGTTTGAATTTGGGACAAAGATATTAAGTTATCCTTAAGTATGGTGTGTGAGGGTGCTCCAAATGTAAGCACCTTTAAGAAGGGGCTACATGTAATCTGTAACTAAATTTGTGTATGTGTATGTGCACACACAGGGCAGAAGGCATGTTGCTCGGAGGTGAGATGACGACATGGTAGGTAAAAGAACAAGGCAGGCCTCTCTCTCTAACCTGTCTTGGCAGAGGTGGTTGGTGTGGCCCAACCACAATGAACCAGACAGGCAGAATGAAGACAGTCTGGAAACACTGACCTCATAATAACAAACAGAGATATTCTTCCCATCTTTAGAAAAACGGACTCAAAGTTATAAATGAAATAAACAAACTCTACCTTTGCTCGTCGGGAAGAGCAATACTCTATCCAGTTGAGGTAAATCACACAGAAACTCTCCCTGGATATGCCTGCTAATCGATGGTCATAGTCTTCATCGATGTTGGGGTTAAATGTCGGGTCCACGTCTACATAATTCCGATCTGCACACAGACGAAGTCCTTCCTGCATTGTCTCATTAGCGAGCCACTCCTCTAGCTTAGAAGAGGTTGTGACATAATAAATGATGCCCTAATGAGGAAAAATTAAAAAAAAAATTCCAGCTATATCACAAATTGAATTAATGTCAATCCTCAGTAAATAAAATCCAACTATTTATACTGATAATACAACTCAAAGATATATTATTCTGGCTCAATATTATAAATATACATCTTAAGAATGCTATAATAATATACCTCAGGCCTTCCTGGATGAAAAAAAAAATTTAATTCTTTAAATATTATAACCATAAATTCAGCAAGGCAATTTCAAAAACAGTTGTAATCTATTGATTTTAGAGCTTCTGAATTTAGGATCTTTTAAGAGAGGTGAAAAGCCTTCGTTGTGGTGCATTTATTTTGAAAACCTTCTCACAGAAAGCTATTAAATCATCCTGTGATCCTCGTTCAAGTTAGAAATATATCTAATAATAAAGCAATTAAAATATATACATATTTAGAGACAGAAAAAGCCACACACACAAACACAAGCACATGTAAAAAATATAAAATCAATCTCTTTATCTTCCTGAGGTTGTATTTAAAACCAAACATTAAATAGAAGACTCAAGGTTCACCCCAATCAGCACAAATAAGGTGGTACATATAGGTAACAACATAAGATATGAAAAATTCAGATATGTGTCATTAAAATTTAGCACACACATTTTCCTCTTGAAAATAATGGCTTTGCCTGCAAGCTCTCAAATCATAACCATGCTATACTTCTGTAAAATCTTTAGCAAAAATAAAATACATGTGCAGTAAAGAACTTACCTTGCCCAAAGAGAGGTCTGCGCTTTGCACTTGGGTCCTGGGAGGTAAGCTCTAAAAGACTTTTTGTTCACCTGGAGGCTTAGAGTTATAACCTCTAGAGGAGCTGGAGACTAAGGTTGGCCATGTGGGTGGTCAACCACGTCTAAGTGATTTCGCTCCAATAAAAACTCTCCACCGTGAGGCTCAGATGAGCTTCCTTGATGGACAACACTGTGAATATTGTCACGCACTGTTGCCAGGAGAAACAGGCATTGTCCGTATAACTCCACTGGGAGAGGACAACTGGCAGCTCATGCCTTGGTATCTCTGGACCCTGTCCTATGTGTCTATTTCCCTTGGCTGATATTAATCTGTATCCTTCCACCTTAATAAGTCTTAACTGTGAGTATAATGGCTCTGCTGAGTTCTATGAGTCCTTGTAGCAAATTATTGAACCTGGGGGTGGTCTTGTGGACGCTAAAATTACAGTTGGTTGTCACAAGTGAAGGTGGTCTTGGCGATCTCCCAAATATTGCAATACTTATTCAGCTTGTTGAAAGCAGTGGTTAAGAGCAAGTGTTTAGGAATCAGAAAAGCCTGGATTTTATACCCCTAGCTTTACCTGCTAGTTAGAGGTCTTTGGGCAAGTAAACTTCTATTTTTCTTGTTTATTTGTAAAACAGGGATGTGACATTGCTTTAAAAGGAGAATTAGCCAAGATACATGTATGTGTATGTATACAAGCATGTGTGTGTATATTCCTCAGCACAGTGCCTAGAACATATGAGCTACAAATGGTAGCTATTAATATTAATGAACAATGAATAAGTTTCAATAAAGGAAAAAACAGCGTGACCTTCATAGGTACAACTCAGCGACTATACTGGATACTAGAGAATTTAAATCACTACACAGAAGCAAAGCACAAGTAAAAAAAAAAATTTATATATATATATGTATTTTCCAAGAAGAGTCTTCACTTACTGGAAGATCTGAGTAGGCGCACGCTCTTACCTTGACATAGTAAGTGGTGAGTACTTTCCGGAGGTCAAACACTTGAAGCATAGAAGCGGCACTGTTGTCGGTGATGCTGTAACCCTCCAGAATGTACTTGGTGACTATGACTTCCCAAGCTAGCCAGCGCTGGCTAAAGGCAGCATTAAATGACAGCACGTGAGGAACGTGGCCAGGTTCACAGCAGCAAAACCCTTCATCTTCTTCCACACCTTCAGTGATAGCCTCTACTTCCCGCTGTTGACAGTAGGTACCTAAAGAGAGAGAGAGACCACTTACAAACCAAGGGGGACAAAATCATAAAGTGGGAAAATGAATGCTTTAAAAACACAAGACATTTAGAGAGAAGACATTTCATAGCAAATGAAAGTATATGACTGATTTGCCTTAGGAGGTTCACTAACAAACTGCAGCAGGCTCCTGAGACCAGGCACACTGTGTGTTTGTCTCCCGCAGAAACACAATATGCATCAGTACATTCAAGGTCCTGAGAATCTGTAAGGAGGCTATAGTAAAGTAACCTCCTTCATTTTTACTCACCAATCCCCAAGCTTTGCACACTTGGGCTTACAACTGCATTCCTATTAATGAAGACCAAATAAGTAAAGGTATATCTCACGAAAGTTTGAGTTAATTTTGAAAAGAGTGGAATGAGAACTGAATCATCCCAGGGCACCCCATACAGACAGACACATAGAACTCAGAAGAATGTGAGCTCTGTTTACCAGTATGGTGTCCATGCTGCAAGCCAATATATTATATACATCCCGCTTATATGGCTGTATAATTTAATATTAAATTCATAATTAAAATTTTTCCGTTGCCAATTCCAATAATAATTGGGTAAGATTGCAGAACTGGCACTTGAGGTTTACCTGCTGATACAAGCTTCAATTATGTATGAAGTCTGACTATGCAGCACTAGCAAACAGTACTTTGAAGTTACGTTCTCTGCATTAGTATTACTGAAGTAAAAATACAAAATTAGATTAAATATAGACTTAGACCCACAGCAATCGAATATTATCACCCATCACATTGATGTTAAAATATCACCCATCACATTGATGTTAATTTTTATTGTTATGTGGTCTTGCTTCTATTTAATTTGTAAATTCCTTATATTACATTAGGACTATAAAGTGGTTATACTTAAAAATATAAAGGTATGTATTAAAGTAAATTATAATAAAAATAACAAGTGGGACTACACATTTTTTTCCCTTTAGAAGGAATATATACACCATCCATGTTCAAAACACACTGCTTTGAAAGAGAAAGATGCCAGGAAACCTAGCCCCGCTTTGGTGGTGGTGGTGGTGGTGTGATGAAAGATCCGCTGAACAGGTAAGCTTAACCAGACTAATGAGCTGTATGGTTCAGTAATCTAGAACCCTTAACAATTCTATTATTTTCTAGTTTAGTTATATTGGCAAATACTTCCAAAATAATGACACATAGTGGTGAAAAGAAAAACTCTGTCTTGAACTTGACAATAACAGGGATGCCTGCTGTGGTTGATGATTGCACGTGATACTGACTACTGATAGACATAAACATTTTTTCCAGAATAAGGACATATGTAATCTTATAAAGTATTTCTCAAAGCAGTAATGGAAATAAAATTGAATAAATTGTCCTCTGGCATCTTTTGAGAGAATCATATTACATTTTTTATTTCCCATGATCTATTCAAAGAAGATGAATTCTATTAATTTGCTTTTTAGTATTTAAATTAACTTCAAATGAAGGACCAATTACTAAATTGGTGAGGGGTACTTAAAAAAAGCATTACTGGTTTTTGCTTATTCTTGGCTCTGAGGATTTTTGCATCTGTAGTCATAAGTAAATTAAACTGCAATTACTTTTTTAGCTAGTTTGGTCATCTTTTGACATCAGTATTACACTGATTTTGTAAAAAGCCTTGAGAAATTTCCCTCCTTTGCCCATGGGCTAGAATAGATTAGAGAGGGCAGAAGAAACTTCCTCACCCTGGGTTTTTAAACTGCAGCATGAAGTTGGGTCTATTCCATAGGTCTTACATTTATTTCATTACTGCCTTTTATTGGTTCTACCCTCTTTGTGGGAAGGAGTCAAAGGTTTTTAAGTAAAGGATGTACACAATGAGAGCTGTATTTTGTGGTCACTCTTTCGGTGGCTTAGAGAGAAGAGAGGCGGTAAGAGGGCATCTAGAGGTTCTGACACTTACTCAAGAGACGCAGAGTAAGACCCTTGTTTAGAGTACCAGAGAAAGTTCAACAGGGTAATTGAATTAATACAGGATATTCTTATTCTACCAAACAAACCCCAAGAATATTTTCTACTCCAACTTACACTAGTAACACATTTTGCTTCAAAAATGAAGTCAACAATAAGCATAGGAATTGATATTCATAATTAAAAGAAGAGTTCTGAGACTTGGAAAGGGATTCTAGAATTCTATGAGGATCTATTACCAATGAGCTATATCGTTCTCAGTCACTTGACAGTGAATATAACTGGTAAAAATAAACTAACAAATAAATAAAACTAACAATTATGAAAATTAGATATATTAGAATTTGAGTAAAAACTGAAAGAAATCCAACAGCATAAAATTTTTTGACCTATAATGTTTGACTTGGAAAACTGTACTTGGTAGAAGTAACATTTACAAATAAAAAGTTCACATGGTAGAAGCTTTTCGTAATCAGGCAATTTTGATAGAAAAAAAAAAATGAATTGATAACTCAGATCCTGACATAAATTTACACAGAAAAGAATCTTGAGAAAATGAAATAAATATAAAGAGGTTTAACCAAGACCTATAGAAAACTGATTAAGAAACCTGTTTAGTTAAATGTCACTTAAAACTTAGCATCCACTAGAAGAGACACTATAATCAAAGGAATTAAATTTGTTTAATGGAGTTTACCAGAAAATACATCAAAATGCTCAGCAGGTCCAAATATCTGATGCCTGGAAAATATTGACACTCTTGATTAATATTTTGAGGGGTCAAAGGTAGACAGAACAGAGGCCAACATTGTGAAGGAAAGAAGTTCTGGAATAAAGAGGAGGAAAAGCTATACACTTACATTATCTAATCACTCCACAAAATTAGCCATGTATGATATGCTAACTGCTGTGACAGGTGCTGGATACACAAGGATGAATGGAGCAGACCTGACTCCTGCCCTTGAGGAGCTTATAATAGACAGGGAAGGTTTACAAAATACAGCCTTGGGCCAAACTCAAGCCAAGAATGGTTTTTATATTTTTAAAGGGTTGTTTAAAAGACAAATGAAAGAATATGTGACAGAAAATGTACATAGGCACAGAAGTTTATAAACACAACCATAAAATTAAAACTACGCTAAGCACTAAGGAGCTAACAACAGAGTATAATAATAGAGATAATTATGTGGGACAGGTGGTTAGAGAAGGCTTCTCTGAGAAATTGACATTTAGGCTAATACTTAAAGATAATTAAGGGATTGGCCAGATGGAAGACTGGTGGGAGGAAGGGGGATGGTTGGAACGTCTGGGCAAAGGGAAAGGCAATCAGGAGTCCTTAGTGAAGAACATGGCACAGCTAAGACACTGAAGGAAGGCCGGTGTGGCAGGAGTGGAGTGTGGAGGTAATACAATAAAGTGAGGTGGGGAAACTGGCAGAGACAAGATCACGCAGTGAGGCAGGGCGTGTTAAGAAGTGGAATTCTATTTTAAATGCAGTGGGAAACCACTGAAAATTATGAGCATGAAGGGACACTGATCAAATTTGTCCTTAAAAAGACCACTCTGGCTGACTGAGGAATTCTAGCACCCCTACCATATTCATCCATATCCAGCATGAATTCAGGTAGTAAGGGGAACTGTGTTCCCAAATTGGTTTGATTTGAGCTCTGTTTGGCAAACAGTAAGAGTTTGGATGACAAAGGGTTTATCCAAAAATTTACTTGAAACTACTTAGTACCAGAGAGCGAAGGTTGGGAGAGTGAGAATTTGGATCAATTTTTTATTCAGAGAATTTTTCTTTTTTCCTTTTCTTTCTTTTTAATACTCACCTGAGAACATGTTTTGACTGATTTCAGAGACACAAGAAGTGAAGGAGAGAGAAAAACATCATCAATGTGAGAGAGAAACATCAATCAGTCACCTCCTGTACTCATCCCGACCGGGAATTGAACCAAAGCCTGGGTATGTGCGCTAACTGGGAATCGAACCCATAACATTTTGGTGTAAGGGGCGATGCTCCAACCAACTGAGCCACCCAGCCAGGGCATGATTTGGAGAATTTCTGATCAATACGGTAGATTGAGCAAATAATAAAGGAACTCCTTCTGATTCACGCACATAGAAACGCTAGATAAAATAGCCTCCCACACACATTTGTGTTTTGTTTTTTTTTAAAAAAGGTAAATTAAAGTTTAAAAGCAAAGGTGAAATCTTCAGGTGCCAACAATTTAAAAAGAAGTTGAAGTCACAGCAGTGGTTGGTGTGGTGGTGAGTGGGTGCTGACTCTTAGATATGTCTAGTTGGGTTAGATTTGAACAGCACTGGGTAAGACTCTAGAGAGATGGAATTAAGGTCCTGGGCTCCTTATGGAGAGGCAGAAACACACCATAAGACAAGAATGGACCAGGGAGGGAGGGAGGAAAGAGGGGAAGACGGAGGGGGAGAATGGCTTAAAAATAGATTACAAATGAAAAACGAACATCAACATTTACTATCTTAATCTGAGTATCCCACAAGTAAAATCTTATTTCCAGAGAATGGAGTAACTTTAGAGAAACACTCGTTCCATTAACAGAGATATTATATCATATGTGTTATGTGATTCTACACCAGGGTAAAAGAAACTGTAGGGTAGAGGTCTGATTTGACCCTCTCTCTAGTCAAAATCTTTATTTCTTGTTTCAGGTTAAAAACTCACAAGGCACTTCTTAGCATATATCAAACAAGCTTAGATGCTCCCTCTAAAAACTCTCAAGTGCAAACGTTCCCTTGATTGGAAAGATACACATTAATAGGACGTTCTTCAATTCCTGTAAAACAAGTTCCTATTCATGCTTACAAGATATTCAACTTATAGCAGTTAATAACATCAAGTTGATATGCTTCTGAATGCACCATTTTCTGTGTAGAAATAGCTTCATTTGTCTTATACAAAATTGCTGAGGGCTGGTGAAGGAACAGGGAGTAACCGCTTAATGGGTATGGGGTTTTATTTTGAGGAGATGAAAATTCTTTGGAATTAGATAGAAGTGGTGGCTGCACAACATTGTGCATGTACTAAATGCCACTGATCTGTTCACTTTAAAACTGATAATTTGATGTTATGTGAATTCCACTCCAATGGAAAAAAGCTATTGAGGACAAAGGCTTGGCATCCATAAGAAAGTAACTCAGTTAACTACTTTCTGCCTCACACAGAAACACCACACTCCCTTCTGCCAGCCATCTCACAGGTATGCGCACTGGTCACAAAAAGAGACTGGCAAGAGAGCAAGCACAGAACCACAGAAACTCAACATCACCAGGGAAACAAGTCACTTATACACAAATGGCATCTTTACATATACAGCATATTGCAAAAATGATTCTTCTCTGAATGTGAAATTTAGGGGGGAAATCTAATTACTCTCTAACAACTTTACTCATTCTACTAGTCCAAAGACTAAGGCTCAAATTTTATGGTAACTTTGACTTGCGATGTAAACACACAAAACTCAGATATCACAGGAGTATATTATAGAAATAAAAGGTGAGTATCCTACCTCTGAATTCAAGTCCCCGCAGCTGGAAGGTGACCAGCCCGTTGCCGATCTCTATCAGGTGTACTAGTGCATTGAGGTAGTCAGAGGCAAGAATGAAACAGTCCCCTGTACTGTAGTTTCCCCACCGTCCCAGGAGCAAGTCACCACAGAGACTGTGTTGTAGGGATCTGGTTAAATGTTCATAAAAGATGGAGTTCAGATTGTTGTCATCTGATCCTACAAGAAGGGATATTAAAAAAATGTTAAGTTTTACCCTAAGTCCACTTTATATCAATATACAAGACTGTTAAAAATATTAAAACTAATTTCCAGTTAGGGTTGTATCTTTATTTTTTGACAAGGAAAATAATATTCATACTCTTATAATTTCTATACAAAAATGAAATATAGAGTAATGAGAAAACTTTCAAAATTTAGAGTTAGAAGTCACATAACCTCTCTGAATCTCTGGTTCCCATCCATAAAATGCAGGAATTGCAGATGAGATCTAAGGTGTTTTCCACCTTTTTAATAGTCCATGATCTTTTCTATCACTGTTCAATGAACTATGCCTTATAATTAAAACCATGCAAGAGAAATAAAAGAGATTTTTTAAAAATCAAAACTAGAACAAAAAGACATACTGGTAAAGAAAGTGGACAAAGTGATACAAGATTTGAACAAACAAGATAGTTCAAAACAAAGAGAAACTGCCAGTCAAAATAACTTGTATACTGAGATGGCTAAAACTAACTCAACAGAAATGAACTGTATATAGAGAAACGGTAGCAAAGAACCTACAGAATTTCTTAGTCATCCTATAAGGAAAAAAATAGGGTAAAATATCACCCCATAAATGAAATGACCCTTCAGAAGCAACCCAGGCAAAGCGATAATCTGTAAATGGGCACCTTTAAACTCAGCTTAACGAAGTAATAAAATAATGAAAGGAGAACATCAGACTCTAACTTCAATAAAATGGTCCTGTTTAATGCTCTGTCTGCCCCATACAAAAGTGTGCGTATTAATTCGTATGAGTTCAGGACATGGTCTCTTCGACATATAAGGTGGCATCATCAGCATCGTGAGAATTCCAAGCCCCTTACAAAGACACACTAGAGCTGAGATGGTTGTGTTACTACCAGAACATGATAATGACAGTTATTAACATCAATTAACTAGTTCTCCTCAACCTAATTTTATAGTTATGAATTAGCCTAATTATGATAATTTAGTTCCTTTAGTAGACAGCATTTGAAGGAATCTGCCATTTGGAAGATAAGTACAAATATTTCAGTCTATTTGAGAGTAATATTTCTTTTAGTAAATTAATACACTGGATTTCTAGTTCATACATTATTCGCTATGGTTAGAGAAATAAGATTCATACTCTGTCAGATTACTAATGGGTGTGGCACCGAAAGTTTCCCAAATGACAAAACTAAGAACCAGACTTTAGACAATGGTAACATCTCTAAGTGCCACCCGATAGGGCTCTATTTTGAGTGGCTACCTGGCCCTCCTACGTAACATCTCTATATACAATCAACTAAATGAAATAAAATTAATATTTACCTAAACATTCAGGGAAGGGGGGAAACAAACACATTAATAAAACACATACTGGTTAGACTGCATAGTATTCAAGACACCTAACCAATTTTACTTTAACCTTGCTCTACTTTTTAACCTACGTACAAACAATCTTTGAATGGCATTTTTTATCCCTATCAGAATTCTTAAAATGCATTTTATAAAATATGGGTATATAAGTTGTCTAATTCATGTATATTTTGCTAAAGTAAACAAAATAAGGCAAAGGATATTTGGTTTTTAAAAAATAACCATTTGGAACCCACACAGGATTCCCAACAAGCTGGGAGTGAAATATATGTAACAAATTTATTAAACATACTTCTTGATTCACAAATAGAGCTATTACCTGGGTTTCTATCAAGCTGGGAAGCCAATCTGGTATTTGAATGATCCACTCGTTTTGTGCTGAAGATGGCAAAATAAAACATTTTTAGTAACCTTTTTTATCTTTAAAAATGCCTAATAATTAAAAGGGAGAAAGCTATACAATGTAGATGAAATAAATATTACCACTTTATGACTATCTCTGAGAAAAATCTATGATTAGCATATTGATAAAACTGCAGTAGCACAATAATAGGGGTAAGGCCTTTTTTACTCTCCCACATCCACCATACAGAAACACAGCAGTTATTTCCTAACAGGTGTGTCACCGGACAGTGTGTAGAGAGACATTTATGAGTTTAATGTAAAAAAATAATTGAGCAGGATGAAAAAAATCCACACTGCATACAGATCTTAAAAACATACAGTGCATGAAACATTCTTTGCAAGGGGTACACCTATTAATGTCAGTGGCACAGTGTTCCTTATAACAGTGGTTCCCAAAATGTGATCCATAGAACCCAGAGTAGGGGACTCAAGACCCTTCCAGGGAGTTTTCCAGATCAAAACTATATTTCAAAATAATATTAAACAATTACTTGTTTCTGTCACTGTGTTGACAATTGTACTGATGGTACAAAAGCAATGGCGGGTAAGACTGCCGGTGCTTGAACATGAATCAAGGCAGGGGCACCAGACTGTGTGTGCTACTTGTTACTGCCGCACATGCACAAGACGAAAACAATAAATGAAAATTCAACTTTCACCTTAAAATGTTCTTAATGAAGCAATCAACAAATACTAATTTTATTAAATTAGTATTTAATTAGTATTTACAAGCCCTTGGTACAGGTCTTTTTAACACTGTATGTGGCATATAAAGCACCTCTGCTGTGTTCTGAGGTAGGACAGGTGTCTTGAGGGAAAACATTTGGGCAACCGCTGGACTTACCAGCTGCACTGGATACATTTTTTTCAAGGAAGACCATTTTTAATTGAATGGTTGATGGATAAATTATGATTATTCACACTTGGGTATTTGACAAACGTTTCTCAAAAATGAAGAAAGTGAGTCTGCCATTTCAAGGAAAACTACTGACAAGGTATCTGTTACCAATCATAAAATTGAGAGTTTCAAGCAAAAATTAGAATTTTGGAGAATTTGTATCTACTGCCATGAGTTAGACAGCTTCTCAATACTCAAACAGTTTTCTTTTGGGACTGGAAATGATATAAATGAATACAGTTTTTAAAATATTATATAATAAAATGTGTCAAAATTTGGAAGATCTACATTACTCAGTGAGCCAACATTTTCTAAATGATGTTATAAGATTATGCACGGGTGAAGAGATCTATCCAAAATATAAGACCTATCAGTGGATTTTGATGTAACACAGTTCCAGAAATTCGTGGATATGGTTTTAGATTCCATATTTCAATTAAACTTTAGGAAATAAACCATTTGTTGACATTTAGTGAAAGATCAAAGAATATCCACAATTGTCTAAAAAGTCTTCTTTCTTTTCCAACTATGTCTGTGAGGCCACATTTTCTTCATATACTTCAACCAAAACAACATATTGCAACTACAAATTGAATGCAGAAGCAGATATGAGCATCCAGTTGCCTTTTAATAAGCCAGACATTAAAGAGATTTATAAAACAATGATACTTCTCACTGATTTTTTTTGGTGGGATGGAAAATATAGTTATTTTTATTTCAGAAACGTTATTTTTGTTTACATGTAATGGGTTTATAGCTATTGTAAAATTAATAAGCATTTAAATTTAAGTTTTCTAACACAGGAAATATTGGAAGATAAAACCTGTATCAATAAAAAACTCTCTGGAGACTTCCAAAGAATGTAACTTCTAAGAATGTAAAAAGGTTTTGAGATCAAACAGGTTAAGAACTGCTGCCATAGACATAATTTTGGACTAAATTTAAGTTGGCCCAGAAGAACAGAATATAAATAACATTAAAATTCACCAAAAGGGGAAATACTATGGGTAGTTTTTAGATACAAAGAACAGAGCAGAAATTTCAAATCCACAAGCTAGTTCACTGTTTAAAAGGTGAGACTACCCTGTTCACATCTATGCCAGCGTGTGAAAGTGTAGGGAAAAAGCAGTCATGGAATAGCCAGTAGAATTACAAATTATACAAGCCTTTTCTGAATCAATGTTAACACATATACAGCCTTTGAAATGTTTAAGCTCCACAACTCAGTAAGTTTCGTTATAGATATTCTTTCTTAAATTACAAGAAAGAAAAAAAAAGAAATTTGGGGAGATTACATACAGGGGTGTAATTAGGCATCAGATTAAACAGCCTGAGGAACTAAGCCTAAATGGCAAAAACTTCATGTACAGAAAGGTCACTGAAAACATCTTCATGAAAAGACAAAAATAACCTAAAAAAAAATACTTCAGAAATAGCTATTTCTAAGAAAAATGTGAAATAACTAATTATGACTATTATAATGATATAACACTGCACAGCATAAAATTTCAGAGTATTATTAACATGGAACAATTCTAAGAAACACTATTAAAAGAAAAAAGATGGAAAATGAGTGTATCCAAATAGAACTATGTTTTAAAACTCATAAATATATTAGCCAATGTAACCCCTATAAATTTAATTTTAAAAATCTTATAAATAGAAAAAAAAGGTAGAAAAATAAATAGTAATTATTCTCTGACTCTTCTAATTTTATGTAATTTTGAAACTTTGCAAGTATTTATAAAATTTTAAAATAATTTAACACAAAAATAATAAAATAACCATGCTGTTAATAGTTTTTCCTAATAAAAAAGACAAAATTGGCTTTCAAATGCTGTATTTTACTCACTTATAGTCTCTTTCCCAGAATTTCACAGGTCGGACATATGAAGTGATGAATATTGCACTTCCCAGGAAGGGGTTCAGCGGTGTAGAAAAGAGGGCCGAGACGGCAGCCTGAACAAACAACATGGCTGAGTCTATGGGCAAACCGGTTAAGGGCTTAACAGTCACCTGAGTGACACACAAACACAACACACACACACAAGTGCCTCTCACAAGCACACTGCAATTACAGCAACTAGAAAAATAACATCCATGAGAGGAATACAGAAAAAGGTGGCACTGGGCAGTTTAATGGGTAGAAGTGGAAAGACACAGCTTGAAAGAATAACCTGGCATGATGCTCGGAGGAAGCTAAATAAATGTCTGCTACGATGTCTTTGATAAAAGTCCATATGTCACTTCTGGGTAGAGCTGCTTGGATTTCATTTTCCAGAGGATGAAACTAAACTTTACAGATACAAAAGGTCTATATTTCAGAATCCATGTGGGTCACTAACCTTTACTATTACTTAGAAAGCACTTTTAAGAAAGATTTTGGACATAAAGTTTAATATAATCATACGATTATGAAAGATGTTTTGTATCTTCATTCAAAAATATTTCTAAATACAAAAATACAAAAATATTTTGTATTTATTGAAAATCCCTGCTACATCAGGATGATCTAAGAGTAAGTTATGTCATGTCTGACGTCTAATCACTGGGGTATACATCTGAAACTAACAGAGTATTTTATGTCAACTGTAATTAAAAAATAATAAAATGACTTAAAAAAATTCCTGGACTTTAACACTCATAAATGTAAACATACATTTTAAAATCAACATTACTTAATTATAGAACCTTAATACTTTTCTCATGTTCAGATGATCTGTGGGCCACAGATGTTAATATAAGTTAAACAATCAAAATCTGTACAGGTGTGCCCTGGCCAGGGTGGCTCACTGGGTGGTCGGAACATCGTCCTGTACACTGAAAGGTTACGGGTTTGATTCCCGGTCAGGGAGTATACAAGAGGCAAGCAACCGAAGTTCCTCTCTCTAAAATCAGCAGATGTATCTTCTGGTGAGGATTAAAGACTACTACTAATAATAAATCAGTACAGGTGTGGACTCAAAGAATTGGGAATTTTTGATAATTTATCACACGGTAACCTATATTCTATGCCTGTGAAAGGTGATGCCTACAAACCAACATTCTCATCAAGGATATGACTGCCCTTTTGTTTATAAAACACAATTGTTTATGAAACTTTTATCAGAAGGATACGGGGCACTGCAAAGGGCTGAGCAAAAGCGTGGAAAGCAGAACCCCATGTAATTTGCCATGGGGCAATGTAAGTGTACACAAACTGCAATTTATAAAGGAGTTCCCAAAGCTGTAGAAGGAAAAAAGAAAAAACAATCAGTAAAAAACTTACTGGCTGTTTAAAATAAAATGAAACACCTCTAAAATGTTTTTTCTACCTAATAGGGAAACGGTATTGACATTATTTGCCATTTGCATAAAAGAAAAAAATATATCAACTTCCATAACTCTATATATTTTTAAGTAAAGACAGCTAGCTGATTTATGGGTTGTGTTTCATCTATTTAAAAAATTCTATGTCCTCTACTGGCTATATCACTACTACAACAAGAAAAACAAAGGTAGGAAATCTAGATGTCTATAAAGCTTAATACATACATATATTTTGAATCTAAGACATTTTCCTCAAATTTTAGTGCTCTGCAAACTGAGAATGTTTTAAATGCAGTGTCAAAAGGAATGTGAACGTATCCAGGCAGGGCATAAAGTTGTACAATAGTTGTCACTGCCTGTTTGCCTAAGAATTTAGCAGTGTATATTTGGCATCTGCACATAATCTCAATTGATATTGTCAATGGAAACATATATACTTTATTTAAATTAGGACCTGTTTTGTTGTTGAACATGTCTTCAACACTGAAACAAAATTGTATACATGCCCAAGATTGCTTCTGCATGCCAGGCAGTGCAAGACCCAGTTCTCCAAACAGATCACAGAATCTTTTATTAAAAGCAAGAGGTTCTGACTCATTCAGTGCCATGCTCCACGCACCAAATACCTCATATTTAAATCGTTTAGCTGACTTACAATGAACCCGTTTAACTTCCAATTTAAAAAAATAACTTCAATCAATTAGAAAATGCAGATGAACCCTTGCATTCTTTGTCATGACCCAAAATTATCCTGGAGATTTTTGGTACTAATGTGATCAGGATCACAGGAAGTAAAAAGCAGGATGTACATGATCAAGATGCCATTATAACTGCTTAAAAGCAGTGATTCCAAAAACTCTCAGGAGTATAAATGTGAAAGGGACTGTACTCAAATTTTGACTGTAATATTGACGAAAAAATAATATGCAATTACATGGATAAGTAGAGTTAGTGGCTAAAAATATTTTTGTATACATTCAGAGTAATTTTTTCTTGAAAGGTTATTAAATCAATAGCGCATCTTATAATGGTATCTTAAAAAACCTACCTAAAGAGACACCTTGACTATCACTTGCTCATTACCGCTATTAAGTTCTATCAAGTGACCGTATAAAGTGCAAAGTCCTTAAGGGCAGAGCTTTCTCTGATTTGTTCACTGATGTCGCCTAAGCATCTAGAACAGTCTAGAAAGTGGTATGCTCTCAAAAACAATTTGTTTAACAAATGAAAGCTTTAAGAAATTCCAAACTAATGCAAATAAAGTGTAGTGACTATTTCAAGGATTGTTTAGTTTATATTTTACTGCAATTTTCACTTTTTTTCCAACCAATATAATAAGATGCAATACAATTTCCAATCTAAATATTTAAATTTGTGAGACACCACATGCTTCTTTATACAAACAATTCTCTGATTAACTTTCTGGCTTCCTCCTTTGGTTAACCATGCTCACTAGAAGAGGAAATAAATAATAAAAATGCATACAAATTAGTGATTGAGCAAATATAATATTGCAATATTTTAGAAGTTATTTATCACAATATTTAGCATATTTTGAAACTGATCATCACTAAAACCTTGTTCAGATTAATGGTTTTCAGTTTGCACTGTTCCCATCCTAGGTCCGATCTCTATCACATCTAAATTACTGTCACAATCTCTTAAACTGTTCTCCATACCTTCAGGTTCTCTCTTCCCCAAGTCATCCCAAATGTGGCTGACCAGGCTAACTTTCCTAAAATTGGGCTTTCATTGTGTTTTGTAGCTGCTCATATGCTTCAGCTCTGTTACCTATCAAATGGGATAATACATGTCAAAGTCCTTTGTATGTGGTCAGCGTTAACATGAAATCTAAGCTCTATTTAATTTACAAATAATCTGACTGCACAACTGACTTCATTTAGAAAGGTAGTGTAGTTCAGCAAAAAGGTCCTTGGGATGGTAGGGAGAAGACCCAGATTTTACCATCTTATTTGTAAAAGGACTAAAAGCACCTCTCTTATGGATGGATATCAAATTTTAGAAGCATTCTCTAAACTTCAGGGCATTCTGTAAATGTCCCCATCAAACTAATTTCTGATTGCTCCCACACGGTCTCACTGCCTAGGTATCTGCCCCCTCAATCAGCCACCAGGTTACTTCCTCTCTCCATCTATCCAGCAGCCCACAACCCAGTTCAGTTACTACCATGTCTACTTCTGAAATTATCCAAAAACCACTCCCCCTTTGGAAGTTCCTATATATTCATAACTATATACTTAGTGTTTCTCTAATGTTTCCATATAACTTAATCTTATCTTCCCAGCTATTGCAAGAAGTATGTCTTACAGATCACAGTGACAAGCATTATTTAGGGGTTCTAATATGCTCCTAAATAACTGGTTAAATGAAGAAAAATATTACTTAAAAGATAATGTCATGTATGAAATGCAAAGACAATCCTCGCTAAATAGTGTATGACTTAGGGAGATACTTTTACAGAGTGGAATATTCCTTTTAGTGATGAATTACCTTGTTGAAGAGTATGGACATGAAGAAGAGATCCAACAGCATGGTCTCGGAAAACGCTTCATAGTCAATTTTGAAAAAGAGCACAGTAAAGACAACTGTGACATACTGATATGTGGGGCTGCTAAAAGAGGACCGGAGCAACTTCAGACCAGCAATGGTGATCATTAAAGCACCTAGTCTAGAAGAAAAAGAAAACACAACTCACCAACCAATGAATGAAAAATTGAGAAAATCTACTAACTACAGAAAAACCACCATTTCATTTACAATATATATATTGAATTTAAACTTCTAAAAATGATTTATATAGCTAAGCATATCGCATCCTAAAATAAACTACCATAATATTCTTTTAATAATATGTATTATGATTCTTATCCTTTATATAACTCAGTTTGAAAAATAAGTTAACAGTATTCTAATTCTGACTTTTGATTATCCAGTTTCTCAATATTTCTATTGTTTTAACATTAATAGCATTTAGCACATAAAAAACATATTAACACTTACCCAACAACATGTACCTAGTCTAGTGGGTAGGCCTCTATGGTAACTACACACAGTGAGGCAAAAGTAGGTAGGCAATTATATATATGGAAAATAATACAATAATTACTAATTACAAGAATAATTACTAAATACAATAATTACTAACTACAAGAATAAAATCTGTTTTGAGTATAAATCCACTTTTGCCCCACCCTGTATATGGTCTGATTTACAGAGCATAAAAAAATAACCATTTCTCAAACTTACCATCTAATATTAAAGATTACCTCTCCTAACATATCAATAGACAGTGAAACGTCTGGAGTAGTGAAATGCTTTTCAAAGACAAAATTTCACTGGGATTTTTTTATCTCACAGTGTCTTGCACCAAAAAGACACTGGATTACTTATTAATTGATGAATAACTAAGACATTGCTTATGACTGCCCCCAGGAGTCCAACTGAGACTAGAGAAGTATTAACATACTCTGTGTCCAGCTTTTTTGGACTAGCTATAGTCTCCGCACTGCTGCTCAGTTCATTGAGAACAACCAAGGGGTAGATGATGTTCTTCTCCATGAAAAGGAGCCACACGTGAAGCCTCTCAAACCACATGACAGTGGCTGCATCTAATGAGGAAACACAAGTCAAGAAGGCCACGTCATCTGATGTAGAAAACAGCTTGACAATGGGATGAGAAAGGAAAATCTTACAACTCAAATGCTGCTCTACTATACATAATATAAGAAATCCAGTTCTTCAATCAATTGTTAATGTCTATGACTTCTGGGACACATCCAACTCTACAACTTAGATGTGATTAAATTTAGATGAAATTTATTTTAAACTTTAATTCTTAAAACCTGTTTTTAAGCAAGTAACTTAAGCCAATAACTTACGGAGAAAGAATTACTGAAGATTACTAGACTGCTCCTTTGTTTTTAAAATTCTAAGAAACACACACACACACCTTATAAGACATACATCTCAGAAGAGATATGAAAGTATGATATGTTTTCGATTCACATACTTCATAAGAGTCATTTTCATTGTCAATAACATTTTTCCAATATTTTAACAATTATTTCATTGGGGAAAGTATCTAGGATAAACTGAAAGATTTAAAATAAGCTTCTCTGGCTGTATAAAAACAATGTCACCAGGCTTTAGGAAGTTCTCTAATGAATATTCTTCTTTCAGCTGCTAAAATCAGTAGAAGGGGGGTACGGGTCAACTTTGCTAATACTTAGTACTTTCAATAAGTCAAAAATGTTATGTTGATGCAAAATTTGTAAAAATTTAGACTAAATGTTTTAAGATCAAAATGAAGAAACAATATGATCAATGATTTACTCTAATAAAAACTGCTGTTTAAAACAAACCAGATACACTTTCTATCATTCACATATGAAAGCAATACTGAAACTTCATCATCAAAAAAACCACATCATTCTGAGTTATTTTCTTGATGGTAAGAATGGATGAGTACAGATTCTTATACAGTTTTATGTCATTTTCCCTTATTTAAAGAAGCATACATTTTGTAAAAGGTCTGCACAGTGTTATTACTGCAACCTACACACTAGTGTTATTTAATTCTCTCTCCAGGATTATTTATACTGGGGATCAAGATTACAGTACCATGATGCTTTAAGCAATTTTGCTAAAGGCCTAGGAAATTTGCTTTGAGAATGCAAAGTCCAGATTGGTATAGAAAGCTAGAAAGCTTTACAGTTCTCTAAGGAAGATGAAATATCTTCAAACAACTGAGGAATTTCCTCTCTACAGTAATTTATTAACTGAAAGAAAGGTTGAGGAAAAAGCACTGGCCTGTTTAATCACTAGTGTGTAATAAATGACAGAGGTATGAACTTTTATTATTTCTCTAAAATGAGGACTATTACAGGTCATGGGGCCAAAAGGACTGAATACTTAAAACAGGAAAGAAGTCAGGGTGTCAAGCGGGAAGCACTAAGCTTGCCAAGGGGACTGGCCTTCTACCTCTTTTTGAGTCATTTTATACTTGACCCCAAATCTGAATAACAGCAATCCCAAATGCTTTAACTTCTTTTCACCTAATCAACTGTTATGCCCCTCGGTGGTAGGACCCGTGCCTCTGGTGGAAGCAGGAACAAAGACCTTTCTATTCCCCTAAGCTCGCAGTCAAAATATTTCAAATAGAAGCCTTAAGGAGGATTGTGTTACCTGCACATGGCAAGGAAAGTTAAAGGAAAGAGTGGGGACTGGACAGAGAAGTCACAGACATGCACAGAGGATGCATCAGTGAGGTCTGTGAAGACAAGTTAGAAGGTAGTTTTATTCTGTGGAAAGCTGGCATTGTAGTACTGATACTCATACTTCAACTAAAATTAAAGCATCCCACAAAAAGTTTGACTCATTACAGCTTCAAATCCAAATATAAGAAACATAGTCAAAGTGTTACTTGATACTTATTTCCCTGTCATCTGTTAACAGAACAGAGAAAACCTACAGTATTTAAAAGAAGGGTGTTACTGAAATACTTACTTCGAACTTCATATTGATTGTACTCCACTGTCTTCAGCAGAGGATGAGAGAAACAATGCCACGGTAGCTGTTTTCTAACTTGAGGCAGCACGTAATGGGTTACAAAACCTACAAAGCCGACCAGTGCATACAACACGTACTTGAGAGCAGGCTAAAAGAAGACAGTGGAGAAAATTAAAAGTGATTTTGAGACCCATAGAAGAACTTCTAATTTGTCAGTTCAACTTTTTTTTTTTTTTACATTGATGTGAAAAAGACACATTGATTAGTTGCCTTCCACACGCTCCTTGGTCAAGCCTGCAACCGAGGTACCCTTGGCCAGAATCGAACCCGGGACCCTTCACACTGCAGGACAATGCTCTAACCACTGAGCAAGCAAGCCAGGGCTCAACTTTCCATTTGATAATGGAGAATGTAGCAAAGTTAATTTTAGAATCTAAGAATTAAACATCTGTCTATAGTTAATATTTCTGTATTATGTAGTTTTTCTGAGTAAGTCAGCTATGAAAGTCAGTGGTTGTTCATGTATTACAAATATTTTCAAATGTGTTAATTACTTTCTTTGGTGTCACACTATCATATAATGAGAGGCCTGAAGTATATTGCTTGCTACTCTAAGAATGTTCTACATGACTTGCAGAGCAATGTATTAAATTGTTTTAACTAGTGGAGATAAAGGACATGAGCTAAATAAAACTAAGTCTGAGTGAAGAGCAGACTAGGATGGAAAAAAAGAATTCTTTTTTTGTGCCTTCACATGGTACATCATTGGAAGAGAGTTCTTACATATGACTAAACTCACAAAAGAGGAAATCAAGTACAGCACTTCAAATGTTCAAACTAAGAGTTACATATTTAGAAACTCTGAAACTTCTTGGACATGAAGAGCCCTCCATCTGAGCCCTGAAGACCCACCAGACCTGATTCAGCTTGCAAGTGTTCAAGAGTTAATAGTTCAAATTGGAAGGGAAGAAAAACAGGCAAAAAATGTTAAATAAAATTAAATAATATAACCTTTGCTTCTAGCCAAATGGAATAACAGAGATTCACTGTTCCACATGAAACAACCAAAACAGAATAAAATATATGAACCAAATGGTCTGCGATATGTTAGAGAATCAGATGAGATCAGTGTCAGGGATGCCTGCCCCAGTTTACTGCCTTGAGGGAGTTTCCAGGTTGCAGTGTGGAGAGGGGAACCCACACAAAGCCTGGTACCCCAAGTTGATAGATGAAATTGAGAGCCTGGAGAGACTAAGACAGCTAGAGTTCACCAGAACAGACCTTGTACAAGAGAGAAAAGTGTGAAAATCTGCAGAGGGTCCCCCTCGAGGAGTCAGGGAAATTAGCACAAGTATGTGAGGAAGCTCCATGGGAGAAAGGAAACAACCACAAACAAGGGTTAGAGAGAACAGTACCCAGCACTGACGCAGGGCCAGGAACAGTGCCTGTTCCTACAGTCAGGCTGGAAAAGCTCAGGATTCACAGGGCACTGGGCAGAGGAATCAAAACGGTGTTGCCTCAGGAGGGGAATATTAGCCCTATGCTAAAACCAGCCCTGGTTCCACTTAACAAATCTTAAAAGCAAGGGCTGAAAGGATCAAACTGTTAACAAGTAACGTAACAGTGCTGAAAAACAAAATTCAAGATTTCTAGACATATAAAAATATCCAATACCTAACAAGGCAAAATGTATAAAGCTCTGCATCCAGTCAAAAATGACCAAACATGCAAAGAATCAGAAAACTATGGCCCATGAGGAAAAAAAAAAAAACAATCAAAACCAACCAAACCAACCCACAAGTGACAGAAGTGAGAATTAGGGTAAAAGGACAATGAAAGAGTAAGAACTGAATGTCCTACGTTCAAACGGTTAAGCAGAGGTGTGGGAGGAATTAAAAAAAAAATTAAACTTAAGGTGAAAATGACAAATTCTGAGATGAAACATACACCGTATGGGGTTAATGGCAGATTATACAATACAGAAAGATTAGTGAAGTTGACAAAATAGCAATGGAAAGTATTCAAAATTAAATACACATTCAAAAAAGAATTAAAATGAACAGAGCATCAGCAAACTGCAGGACAACGTCAAAGCCTGAGATGAAGTCATGAGGTGGAGTGGGTGTCGGGGGAAGGGCGGCTAGGGAACAGAAAGAGAACAGAAAACACATTTGATGTGATAGAGGCCAAAATTTTTCAAATCTGATGACAACTAGACCCCAGAGTCAATGTAACCCAAGCACAAAACCAGGACGAAAACGATGTGAAGCTACACCACAGCCAAACCGAGCCCGTAAGGAAAGAGAGACCTGCACGATCAAGAGCACTGAGGACGGAAAGCATGTGGCCCGCAAGTGAGCAGGGCCGCATTCGAGCAACCAAGTCTGAGGGGCTCACCACGCCCACCTGCGCTAGGTGACGAGGCTCTCGACTCCCAGCTGTAACGGAACAAGACCTTGGGGGGTTCACATATTCCAGCCTTATGAACAAACATTACAATCAAATCGGAAATGAGCCCCAAGTTATTTTCTCGCAACCAAAAGAACTAAATGATTCCTTACCTGCAATACTGTAAACACTGTGCTCACATGAATAGCAAAATACAGCACGCCAATTACAACGCATACTACTAGGTCAGACTGTAAACGTTCGCTCTGTGAAACAAAACAGAATTATCCAACAGAAACAAATTAAAATACTTCCTTCATTCCCAACTGGCAAATTGTTTAAGAAACAATTTTTCACTGATAGTATTTTTTTTAGCACTTCTAGCTATTTCTTAACTACAAGACTTATTTTCTCCCTTAATGTCCTCATATTTTGATGTGACACTGCAATCATTACCAAGGAAATTAAACTTAAACTTACTCATCACACTAGATAGCATATCATAACAATGTCTTTTATAATGAAGCTGTGTATTATTTTCCCCCAATGACCTGTAAGTTTTATGGGAAAAGGAAATGAGGTACTTAAGTTACTGTATCATTTATAGAGCATATCCTTTTGGATAACAAAGTTATATTTTCATTCATCTTTTAAAATGTTGAAACCATGCATATGTACTATTTTACTTACTGGATTTTGGTTCTTTTAGTGGTTGTAGCAAAACCCAGAAACCTCTTGATATTCTCTGGTTGTTGACTGACCCATTGATTTACACTTTGAAGCAGGATTCAGAATTATTCTACACTACATTTGACATTAAATATCCTTTGCTAACATGGAAATTAAAGTCAGAAAAAATGGCTTAAATTCTACTTGAAGCAGTTTTGAGTTCTAAAGTTTTTTTGAACAATATGTGAACAGCTCAGGTTCACTGAAGGTAAATACTGTTTCTAACTCACGAACTAGGTTACTGTTCTCTTTCCTCCAACCAGGAAAATACACACACAGACACACTTTTCAGACTGCCCTTGAGAAATAAAACACACTAACAGATTACAACAAACTGTAATTTATGTTAATATTCATCTTTCAAATCTCAGTTTAAATTGAACAGGATTAAGAATTCTATAAACAATGAAATGACTTAATTTCACCTGATATAAAAATAAATGTTTAGCATACTGTTCTATAGAAAATCCCAGTGTGAGGAATGAGCATTTCTTACATGTTAAAAATTTAAATAAAAGCAATCAACAATGTATAGCTAACATATAAAAACTATAAATAGTCATATACAGTTATAATATATAGCTATACATTTTACCTCAATTAGTAAAGGCCTTCAAAAAGTGTTCATTATATAATATGAACTGTCTGAAATTTAAGTCTTTTAAGTGATTTTTAAAAGCTTACACTTACAACGGAATTTCTAAGTTTTTCAGGCAGTGGATCTTTTACTTCAGATAGAGGGTCTTCTGGATTTTTCTCTTCTGTTTTTGGGAAAATCTTAGATTGCATCAAAGAGCTTTATATTTTAAAAAAGAGAGAAAATAATTAATATAAAAATACATATATACCCTGAAAACCAGTACTTCCAGTGGCAAATAAAGTTCATGATAAAAAACCAAGCAATCCAAGCATACTTAGTCATTAGCAAGTGATATATTCTAAAAAAAGTTTAAGGTGCCATACATAATCAGAAATTCCAATTTATTTAAATTTCTTGAATTCAGTAACAATTGATTTCACTTACAAAAGTACAGATGGATCACTGCTTTGTCGGCTGAGATGGTAGGATACTGCCACTAACAAACCACAGAAAATGGAGAAAAGTACTGGAATATGCTGGCCATCCCAAGATTCCTGTTGGGGGGGAAATGTGACAGAATAATATGCTTCTAATTTATGATCTATTATATAATCCTGTATGCCAATATTTTGGAGACAAGTAATTAAATTCAACAAAGCTTTTTAAACTATATTATTAATTTCATTTTATTCCAAATAAATTTAGATTTATTTCAAATGAGCTAGAATATCTAGCTGCTAGATTATCTTCAGATTTCTTTTGGTACTAGAGTTCTATTTATACACTAGGAATAATGCATTTGCTTCTGCTGCATGCTGCTTGTCAACCACTTTCAGATTTAAAGTAGTATTAAGCTTACAGTAATTTCTTCATGTACCCAAACCTCCAGCAAGTCCAAATTATTCACCATTTACTACACACAACACACTTTCTTTACAACTCCATGTCCCTTTCTCCCTTGTTTCAATTAACTAATTCCTATTTGTCCTTCAAATTTTGGTTAAAAAGCCACCGTTGGAAAATCATCTTTAATTCGTTTAGGCTGAATAAGATAATAATTACTGTACTCATAAGACTCTTTTCATAGCCTTCATCACTCTCTATTGAAAGTGTTTGTTACCCGGCTGGAGTGGATCAACGGTTGAGCATCGGCCTACGATCCAGGAGATCGTGGTATGATTCCCGGTCAGGGCACATGCCCAGGTTTCGGCTCAATCCCCAGTAAGGGGCGTACAGGAGGCAGCCGATCAAGGACTCTCTCAACATTGATGTTTCTATCTCTCTCTCCCTCTCCCTTCCTCTCTCTGAAATCAGTAAAGACATATTAAAAAAAAAAAAAGAAAGAAAGAAAATTGGTGTATTAGTTACCCAATAAAAAAAAGAAAGTATGTGTTGACTTGTTAATCACAGAAGCACACAAGCTACTCATAAGCAGGAAGTGGTGTCGGCACAGCAGGGGCATGCGAGAAGTACTCATGGTGCTACTAAAGTGAAGCACTGAAGTGCTGCACATCACTCTTCAGTCCTCTCACCCAGGGCGTGGGGTTGTTTATCAGAAAGGTAAATTTTTAATATGGACAATCTGGTGATGATCGTTTAAAAATGGAGCAAGTAAGGCTCATCGAGATCCTTCTGAACAATTAACATTAAATTTCAGTGCAGCGAGCCTTACTAGAGTGTGGCTTCAATTGCAATCTTTGAACTTGTTCTCACAAGTCTTTGAAGTACTGATATGAACAGTAGTTACATATATTCCTAACTAGAAATCTAAAATTAACTTCATATTGTTATTACCATGCCCACCTCTATCCCAGAATAGCCTAAGTTTTAATAATCTGTTTCTAATAATAATGTCTGATTACATGAAAAAGGATTTTCTTTTAATAATGGTTAACTATGAAACTGTTTTTAAATTCAAAGTGAATGAAAATAATATTCAACATGAATATCATAGGAATTCATGCTAAAGTGGCATCAGAAAAAAAATCACTATTAATCCATTTAAAACACTATGGCTCAGCCAGGCATGGCTCAGAGGTTGAGCATTGACCTAGGATCCAGGAGATAGGGGTTCGATTCCTGGTCAGGGCACATGCCCGGGTTGCAGGCTCGATCCCCAGTCAGGGGCACGGAGGCAGCCGATCAATGACGACCCTCTCATCATTGATATTTCTATCTCTCCCTCTCCCCTTTCCTCTCTCTGAAATCAATAAAGATATATATAAAATAAAAACACCAAAAAAACCCCATTATGTAGAAAAAGAGCCTTAAAGACAAACACACTACAGCCTACTGCTTACCTTTAAAGCGCCATAACACAACCCATACAGTAGGGCCACTGCCACAATGCTGCAGATGAAGCTGTAGAGGGCTGCAAGCAGGCTGGTAGTGGCTAGATGGGAAAAGGGGGGGGGGG